TCAAGCAAATTTTAGGCAGAAGCAGGCCAAAAAGGCGCACTGATGCCATGGGCATCCCAAAAGAATGGTTAGTTGAGCATACTCTGGGATCGGATGACCAGGGCGGAAATTTTGGGGCATGGCATGTTTTCGAATGTTTTTTGCTATCGAGGAAGTGGCCAAAAAGCAGCAAGAGAAGCAAGAGGAAAGTGCTGCGGCTGCGAAAATTCAAGCGAGATATCGCGGGAAGAAAGCAGGGAAGGACATGAGATTGCACTTGAGGGTGCTGCTGCTGCTGTTTCCCTGCAGATTTTGGGTGCTCCATGGTGTTCCCCAGTTCAATGTGATAAAGCTAATGCCACAACCCCCGAGAAAATGGTGTATAACACCCGGAAAATTTGGGCGGAACATTTGGGGATGCTTGATTGAGGTGCAGTTCCAGTTATAAGATGTTATAAGTGGATTTGTAACCATAGAAACTCTCTGGGTTGCATCCCAACTTATAGCTTCAAAAATCCCATGGGCACCGTGCCAGGAGGTTCAAGAGATGCGGGAGCAGAAAGGGGCCGCCACGGCGATCCAAGCGAGGTACCGACAAAGAGCGGTGCAGCGAGAAGTGGACGCACGGCGAAAGGAGAAACAGGAACGGATGGCTGCAGCGGATGGCAGTGGTCCATGGTAGGGGCCAGTGATGTGAGTTGGGTGACAACATGTTTGCTTCGTAAATCTGTATGATCTATGTTAGCATTGCTGGTGGCTGCTTTCAAGTTTCATTTCTCCCCAAAAAAATGGTGAAGCCCAAAGTCAGGACATTCTGTGGCAGCATGGAACATCTGAACGCTTAGAGCAGCATCCAGCTATCATCCTGGTCCTTCCTTTTGGTCGCACCAAGTGCAGGAGACAGAGCAAGCAGCCACAAGAATTCAGAGCAGATTCAGGCCGACCCTGTGGATGATTTCAAAAGGGGACTTGAGATAGCTGCAACATGATTTGCCGGAGCGGAGCGCTCAACCTTGCAGATTGTCTCGACTGTACCCGGTAGGTTCCTGCCCTATCTTGTTTCTAGCTGGGACCGCTATCTTCCGGTTCGAGCTGTCGCTGGTGTATGTCTTGGCACCGGTGTGGTGTCCCGGACTGTGCCACCCCTTGACCGCAAACCTATGAGACCATCCCTTCCTCGGTGTTTCTTGAAATAGAATGGCACAAATCTGCATACACAAACACACGCACACGCACACACACTACTATTGTTATTGTTATTGTTTTCATTTCTGTATTCTGATCATCATTATCATTATCCTTATCATTGTCATTATAAATTATCATTAATGTCAAGTCAGGATCAATATATCACTAGGAAAACGCCCACACAGGAATAATGTTTGGGCAATACTAAAATGGGTTGGTTCCCTGATTAATATACCAGATTGTGTACCACCCAATTAATCAACCCCACAGAGAAAATCATGTTTTTTTGGTGGTTATCAAGACTCATTCGACAAAAAGGTGTCCCCCATAGGAATCTTATCCAGTTGGTTTCCTCATCTTCCCCTATAGGAATCTTATCCAGTTGCCCATTGGAAGTTGACCTCTTATGACTTCAACTTGGGAGGTCGATTAGATAGGGGAAAAACCTTAGTAGAACCTTATCCCTAGGTACCTACCTTCTGAGGGGGAGTTTTATTAATACAGACTTCACATTGAAATAACCAATATTTGCTATTTTCTTTTAATATCATTATAATCATTATTACTATAATCGCTTTCGTGTTTTCAAAAGAACATTTTACTGTAGTATGCTTCCTACATGCACATACAAATTCATACATGGATACATTTCAATAAACACACGAGTCTAGATACTATCTCCATATACGCACGCATATCCCTCTCCAGGCAGCGACAAGCCACTGGCGAGGTTGAGGCTATGCGGCATAGAAGGCAAGAAGCAGAGAAAAACCGACGCCGTGAAGAGTTTAAGAAAAGCTTCGCGGTGAAGATTGATATTTCAAAAGATCCGGGGTCCTCCCAAGCATCTGTGACCATTATGGTGGTGCCGAGGGAGGCTGTTGATATACCAATGAACGAAGAAACTGCACAAGCAGCCACAAAGATCCAAGCAAGGTTTAGGCAGAAACAAGCTGCAAGTGAAGTTGATGCACTGAGAAAGAGAAACGACGGACAAAGTGCCGCTGTCAACGATCCAGCAGACGAGATACCAGACAATGAGGAGACAGCGCTGGCTGCTACCAAGATCCAAGCAAGGTTTAGGCAGAAGCAAGCCGCAAGCGAAGTTGCAGCAATGCGACAAGGAAATGATGGGCAGAGTGGCCCTGCCAATGATCCAGCAGACGAGATACCAGACAATGAAGAGACAGCACTTGCAGCCACAAAGATCCAAGCAAAGTTTAGGCAGAAGCAAGCTGCAAGTGAAGTTGCAGCAATGCGACAAGGAAATGATGGGCAGAGTGGCCCTGCCAATGATCCAGCAGATGAGATACCAGACAATGAAGAGACAGCACTTGCAGCCACAAAGATTCAAGCAAAATTCAGGCAGAAGCAAGCTGCAAGTGAAGTTGCAGCAATGCGACAAGGAAATGATGGGCAGAGTGGCCCTGCCAATGATCCAGCAGACGAGATACCAGACAATGAGGAGACAGCACTTGCAGCCACAAAGATCCAAGCAAAGTTTAGACAGAAGCAAGCTGCAAGTGAAGTTGCAGCAATGCGACAAGGAAATGATGGGCAGAGTGGCCCTGCCAATGATCCAGCAGACGAGATACCAGACAATGAGGAGACAGCACTTGCAGCCACAAAGATCCAAGCAAAATTCAGGCAGAAGCAAGCTGCAAGTGAAGTTGCAGCAATGCGACAAGGAAATGATGGGCAGAGTGGCCCTGCCAATGATCCAGCAGATGAGATACCAGACAATGAAGAGACAGCACTTGCAGCCACAAAGATTCAAGCAAAATTCAGGCAGAAGCAAGCTGCAAGTGAAGTTGCAGCAATGCGACAAGGAAATGATGGGCAGAGTGGCCCTGCCAATGATCCAGCAGACGAGATACCAGACAATGAGGAGACAGCACTTGCAGCCACAAAGATCCAAGCAAAGTTTAGACAGAAGCAAGCTGCAAGTGAAGTTGCAGCAATGCGACAAGGAAATGATGGGCAGAGTGGCCCTGCCAATGATCCAGCAGACGAGATCCCAGAAAATGAAGAGACAGCATTGGCAGCCACAAAGATCCAAGCAAAGTTCAGGCAGAAGCAAGCTGCCAGCGAAGTTGAAGCAATGAAGAAAGAGAAGGAAGAAACAGCGCAAGCAGCCACAAAAATCCAAGCTAAATTCAGGCAGAAACAGGCAAAGAATGAAGTCGAAGCGATGAGAGCCAGTGCCCCTGCAGCAGATCCGCCTGTGGCCGAGGCTGTCGAGGCTGTCGAGGCTGTCGAGGCCGCTGATGATGAGATCAAGGCTGAAGATATGAAGACGACATCTGAGTCGTTTGGGCGAAACGTTGGCACCTTTTGACCAACCATAAAGTGGGGACGTCCAACTTAGAGATCCCCCCAAGATCTTTTGCGGGTTGCTGTTTGTCAACAACATGTTTCATTGACGGCACTCTCTCTATCTACATGCACGATATAGATGTGTGCTTCCTGCTTTTGAAGCCACGGCATCCCAGGTTTGGGGAGGTTGAAGCGATCCTGGCGAAAAAACAAAAAGAACAACAAGACTTGGTGGGTGACAAGTCTCCCAAAGTGGAAGGTGTGGGGTGCTCACATGTCATGGAATATGTACCTTTGTATGCACAGACACACACACACACATATATATATGTATATGTATATGTACATGTATATGTGTGTATATATATATACACATATGAATATGAATATATATATATATATGTATATAGGTATAAATGCTTATAGATGTGGATGTAATAAAAGGCATAAACGTCACTATGCCCATACGTGCACATACGTTTTTGTATGTAAATTACATACTGACGGGATATAGGGTTCTCACTAGTTGCTACGCCAACCTTTGGCTCAAGAACACCGCTGCTAAAATAGCGAGTTGCATATTCTCCGTTCATGGTAGCGGAGCGATACGCTCCAGGGTCTTAGCAATGGACCAACAACAAGCGGCACAGGTCCTCCAGTCGCTCCAGGAACTACAGACCGAGGTCAATCGACTAAGAGGCCGAGAAGCTGAACTGACAGCACAGGTCGCTTCTTTTGGTGCCGGTTCGGCTGCTTCAGCTGGACCTGGCAGTGCACTGGCACAGTTGGTGCAGTCACAAAAGGAGCTTGTGGACGCCCTTAGATCGAAAGAACAAGTCCGGTTGGTCGACAACAAGGGCCTTGGCAAGCCCGACAAGTTTGATGGGACAGCCGAAAGATTCTTGTCATGGAAAATCAAGACGTCCTCCTATCTTGCAAGTGTTCGCAAAGACCTTCGTGAGATTCTGGTTTGGGCCGAAGATTGCGATCATGCAATCACTGCAGATGACATCGACAAGGCTTTTGGGAGTCAAGCAGATGCCATTGACCAGGTGTCGAACATCAGTGAATTGAGACGCGAGCTTTGGGACGCGCTGCTAATGCTGACAGAGCGTGAGCCCTTTGACATCGTGCTGAACACCGGGGAATGCGGCATCGAAAGCTGGAGAAAGCTCACGCGGAGGTACGACCCATCCACTGGTGGTCGCAAAAGCGCTCTCCTCAATGCAATCTTGTCACCGGCTCGATCCAAGATGGAAGATTTGCCGTCCAACCTGGAGAAGCTTCTTGACAGCATCAGACTTTATGAACGTCGCAAAGACGCATCTGGCAACCGAACGATGTTGGCAGAAGACATCAAGATCAACGTGATTGAACGATTGGTGCCGGCAGAGCTCGAGCGTCATCTCGTTCTCAATCGAGATCGCTTCAAGACGTTCGAGTCCATGCTGTCCGAGATCCAGTCCTATGTGGAACATGCCACCGGCAACAAGATCAAGGTGGTGAATAGCCAGCCCTACGACGCACATGGCCGTGGGGACGATCCTATGGATGTCGGAAGCTTTGGAAAAGATGCGAAGGGAAAAGGTAAGGGCAAGAAGGGAGCTGGAGGAAAACCTGGAAAGGGAAATGCAACAGCTGAGAAGAGAACATGTCACAACTGCGGACGCCCAGGACATCTGCGGGCAGATTGCTGGGCACCTGGAGGCCCCAAACATAAGGGGACGGGTGGCAAAGGCAACAGCAATCAGAATAAGGACAAGGGCAAAGGCAAAGGCAGCCCCGGAAAGCACAAGCAGAAGCCCAAAGGAGGCAAATCTGTGAACAATGTCGAACAAGGTGAACCAGAAGCAGAAGACTGGGACGCAGCTGATGGCGACGATGGTCAACAAGCAGCAAATGTTTTAACGCTCTATGGCGTTGATGGGCCACCACATGACGAGGATGACGACGAAAGTTTCCAGGTCGATCCCGAGTCCGAGGAGTCGGAAGCCTCGACAAGTCGCAGAAGGTGGTTTTCTTTGCCTCACCCACGTGCGTCATGGCCTGAAGAGTGGGACGACCCCGACTATGATGGACCGAGTGGATCGAGTGGCTCAAGACCCCTTCGGTCGCTTCGACTGGAGGAGGTCACCGAGCACGAGACCACTACATCCAAGTCCGCGTCTTCCAAGGCACCTCGAACGCCACAGGGAAGACCCAAGAGGGGCAGAAGTCCAAAGAGCTCAACACCAAAGAGAGGCAAAGCAAGCAGATCAGGGCCAGTCACTCCGGAGTCAGCACTCCGACGCTTTCGAATGACTTCGATGACACCACCACCAAGGAGAAGGTTGAGGCATGGGCCACAGACTCCAGAAGAACTTCTTCGTAGCTCTACACCTTTGCCAAAGACACCACCGACACCTATAGCATGGCCTGCATCACCTCCACAACAGCCGATAGCCTCGCCCAAGACTCCACCAGGACCACCACCAGGATGGCAAAGCCAAGTAGCTTCACCCAAGACTCCGCCATGTCCACCACCGGGATAGCAAAGCTCTCAGGTGAAGCCACCACCACCTGTCAAGGCATCATCGGCAGCTTCGACTTCAGGTTCTCGACTTGTCCAGATGCTGAAGGCTGCGCTGAGTTCACAAATCCGCAAAGTCCAAGAAGAAGATCCTGGTTCAGGAGATGGCCAGGCAGATGCGATGTTAGCGGCTTTGAGGACTAGATCTGTCAAGGCACCGCACATCACAAAGCAGAACATCAGCGATCCTTCTTTCCACGACTCGAGATACCATGCCGAGATTGCCAAAGGTGTTGCACACAATGTGGCCTGGAGAAATGAACGTTTGAGAAGACGTGCAATCGTCCACCGACGAGGAGGAGTCAAGGCACGTGCGGCTGAAAGGATTCGACTTGACAAAGAATGGCATGAACGCTTTGACAACCCAGAAAATCCAGAAGGCATAGTGAGAATCGAGGATGAAGACAACTTGGATGCGGGCATCGAGACGGTGGTTGTGGGCAAAGCTGGTCAGAGCACAGTGATAGAGTTTTCAGCGGAAGAGCGGGAAACCTTGAGGCAGTTCCCGGACGACGAGGCCAAGTTGCTGCAGAAGGACCCCAAGAAGAAACCCATGACCAAGCGTGTTCGAAGCGTTGGGTACAGGGTGAAGAAGAATCGCAACCGCAATGTGGCGCGCAAGATGGCGAGGAAGAACCGACCAGCCTTGGTTCTGAAGGAAAACACTGAAGTGAACGCAGATGAAGATGATGATGAAATGGAAGAGGTCTACATCGAAGAGCCTGATGAGCCTCGAGACCGACCAGGCAGAGGAGACCCCGATGGTGGAGCTGGATCGGCTCCTGCTGCAGTCTACAGCTTGGGGGCCTCTGACGACTGGCGAAAATGGGAACGAGCAGAGTTGAACATCGACACCGGTGCTGCCATCACTGCAGTACCACTTGACTTCGCCAAGGACTACCCGAGGAGCGAGTCCAATGGAGCAAGCTACAAGGCAGCCAATGCGGAACCCATCGAAGATCAGAGAAGTGTGAAGCTGGTGGGATACGACGAATCTGGCAACAAGATCCCAATCGATTGCCGAGTTGCAGATGTGCATCGGCCACTTCTTTCAGGTTCCGAGATCGCCAAGAACTACCACATCGCCCTTGGACCATCTTCGGGGAGATTGATCCCAAGAAACACTCCTGCGGGACGGGCCTATTCGAAGGCCATGAAAGATCTGATCCGAGATTATGGCGATTCAATGCCCATTGTGCACAATCGCCGAGGCATCTATGTGTTGGACTATTGGGTGTCACCTTTTCAGGGGCATCCTCAAGAGGAGTAAGACCACAAATCAACGCTGTTGGCGAGGATCCAGCTGTTTCAGCCGGAGCCGATGCCATGGAAGATGGAGGCGATGTTTCAGCCGCTTCGGCCGGAGCAGGGTCCTCAGGCGATGTTCCAGCTGCTTCAGCCGGAGCAGATGCCTTTGAAGATGAAGTTGATTTGGAAATCGGTGAAGAACAGAGGAAAGCCATTGTGAAGAAAGAACCACATCAACCATCCCAAGCTGAAGTTGACGAACATGAAAGCACTGGACATGTTGTCCATCGGAGCTGGTGCTTGCACTGCAAAAGGGCACGTGTGACTGCTGATCGCCATGTGCCTAAGGAACTTGATGAGCCAGAAACGCAGTTGCCCACGCTGAGCCTGGACTACTTCTATATGAACCAGGACCAGGTTGCGGATGAGGCGACCCTTCCGAGCATTGTGGTGAAGTGCCACAAGACCAAGAGATTTTGGGCGAGCGTTCTCCCGGGAAAAGGGGCGGATGCGTTCGCAATCGCGTGGCTTGGGGGAGTTTTGGATGATGCTGGTTTTAATAAGGTAATCCTTAAGTCTGACGGTGAACCCTCCTTGGTATCCCTTAAACAGAAGGTTAAGGAGATAAAGACCCACATCGAAGTGCACTTGGTGGAAACCCCAGTAGAAGACCATCAAGCCAATGGGTTTATCGAAGTGGGAGTGCGAGAGATAAAACGACAATGTCGTGCTCTCCTCAGCGACCTGGAGTTCAAGCTGGAAAGGAAGGTAGATCCGGGCCATCCACTTTTGGTTTGGCTCCCGCGGCATGCTGCCTTTCTCTTGACGAGATACCGAGTAGGTACTGATGGAAAGACCGCTTTTGAGCGGACCTATGGACGAAAATGGCGGATTCCGCTTGTGAGGTTCGGTGAAAGCATCCTGTATAGGCCGAGGGCCAATCGTGGGGGCAAGAGAAATGACCTTGCCCCAAGGGTATCCATTGGGATGTACGTTGGAACTGGAAACAGAAATTCAGACGTCTTTGTCATGACGGAACGTGGAATCATGAAGGGGAACTCGATCCATCGACGCCCACCTGACGATCAGTTCAAACATGATCAGTTTGACTCGCTACGTGGCCTTCCTTGGAGGTTGCAAGAACGAGAACATGGTGGACTGAGGATCGCCCTTCCCGATGTTGCAGCGCCTCGTGAAAGGCCTGCAGTGCAAGAAGTGATCCCAAGGAACCTCTATGTCACCAAGAATGACTTGGAAAAGCATGGGCACACACCTTTGTGTCCTGGATGTGAAGCAGCAATACTTGAGATGCCAAGCCGAGCTCACAATGCTGAGTGCAGACAAAGAATCCAGATCGAACTTGACAAGACTCCAGAAGGTCAAGAAAGGATCAAAAGAGCGAGAGAGAGAGTTGCACAAGGCAGGCGCCCAAGAGGCGCGGCTGCACCGCCTGAGGGTGGTGGGGCAGAAGGTGGTGAAGCTGCACCACCAGTTGTCCCAGGAGGGGAAGTTGAACAACCAGTCTTGCAAGACCGTGTTCCTTTGGATGCGGAAATGGATGCAAGTGAGGCTGTTGGTGAACCACTGGTCGACACCGATTTTCGTGGAGAACTCAGACAGAGAGAACAAGAAAGAGAAGGAAGCCCAAAGAGGCAGAAACAAGAACAATCCCGAGGAGAGAAAAGGAGTTCACAAGTCGACGTTGAAGATCTTTACAATGAATCTTCAGCTCAGGCTTCAGGGTCAGCCGGACCACCGGCACCGGATGCTTCATCTGGTGTTCCGGAAGGTGCTGCCGCTGCACCAACAAGTCCTGAGACAAACCAGGAGATGCTACATCTGTGTTCCTTGCTCAAAGATGTGATCGCAAAAGGGAAGGTTGCTGAGATCTTCTCTCCACCGCGTGTGGCTGCACAAGCCCAAGTGGTCGGGCTAGCACCTGGCTTCTCGATTGACTTGGAGACAAAGCGTGGTGATGGAACTCACTGGGACTTGAGTAAAGATGAACACATTCGTGATCTGTTTCAACTGCTTGACTATGAGAAACCAGAGTTCCTCGGCGGCTCACCTCCCTGTGGGCCATTCTCGAAGCTGCAAAACATTGTGGATGCGAAGGGCAATGTTTCACCTGAAGTTCGAGCGCAGAGACTAAAAGATGGTCGCAAACATCTGCGCACGGCAGTTTCAGCGTATGAGCATCAAATGAATGCTGGAAGGTACTTCTACCATGAGCACCCTAAAGGGGCCGCTTCGTGGGAAGAGAGAGCTGTGAAGAGACTGAGGGCAGATGAACGGGTGTATGAGGTCACTGGACCAATGTGCCGTTGGGGAATGAAGGCCGCCGATGGCCAAGGTGAAGGGTCAGTGAAGAAAGAAACTACCTGGCTCACGAACTCTCCAATCCTGGCACAGACCCTACAAGGGTGCTGTTCAAACAAAGAAGGCAAAGTTTGGCACCGCCATGTACATCTTGTTGATGGACGAGCCCGAGCTGCCCAGAAATACCCACCAAAGCTTGTCCACGCAATTCTCAAGGCCATTAGGCGCCAACTGGAATGTGATGGAGAACTACACTCACTTTCACATGGCCCAGTACCCGATGCTGGACCTGTGATCAATGAAGAGGAGGAGTTTTGGAAGCAGCTGCCCGACAGCGATGACACCATCGTGGAGCCAGTGCTTGACGCACACTCCGGTGCTGTCTTGGATGTTGACAAGGTCAGAGCTGCTCGACAAGAAGAACTAGCATGGGTACACAAACAGGGTATCTATATCAAAGTTCCACTCACAGAAGCCCAACAGTCTGGAAAACCGGTCATCACCATGAAATGGATTGACAGAAACAAAGGGGATGCAACACACCCCAACTACAGGTCACGTCTGGTCTGTAGAGAGATCAAACGGGCCAGCAATGCTGACTTCATTCCGGACTATGCGTCCTTCAGTTCGATGCCGCCTTTGGAATCGCTGAAATTGCTTCTATCGCTTATGGTGACTTTGAGACGATCCAAGTCTGGCAATGCACTGAAAGTTCGTCTTCTTGACATATCACGCGCTCACTTCTATGGAGAGGCAGAGCGTGATATCTTCGTGCAGTTACCTGAAGGAGATCGACAAGAAGGGTTTTGTGGCAAGCTCGTTAAGAGCATGTATGGAACACGCGATGCATCAGCGATCTGGCAAAGATCATATACAGAACTTCTCATCCGAGCTGGTTTTGCCAAGAATCAAGCTTGGCCATCCTGCTTTTACCATGAAGGTTACGGTGGTATTCGAGTTCTTGTACACGGAGATGACTTCGTGGTGCTTGCTGATGATGCTGGACAGAAATACCTTGAGGACACCTTGAGGTCCAAATATGATCTGCGGGTCGATGGATCGATCGGTCCTGGAGAACGGCATCAGCAGTTCGCAGTGCTCAATCGAATCGTGACCTACAACGAGCAGGAAGGCTCTGTATCCTATGAGGCGGATCCCCGCCACGTTGACCAGATGGTACGAGATCTAGAAATGGAAAACTGTAAGCCAGTCAAGACACCATCTGAGAAAATGTCAGCCACGGAGGCCAACTTGAAGTTGACCACCCCGACCATCACACCGGACCGTGTAAGTTTCTTCCGGTCTCTGGTGATGAGAGCGTCGTATGTGGCACAGGACAGACCTGACATCGCGGAGGCAGTGAAATGCCTATCAAGAAGAATGCATGAGCCCAAAGAATCTGACTTTCAGGATCTGAAACGCTTGGTGAGATTTCTGAAAGGGAAACCACGTGTACTTTTGAAGTTTGGTCGCCAGAAGTTTGCTGACACGATCCACATGTACGTGGACTCCGACTTCGCTGGGTGTCTTCTTACAAGGCGCTCAACAAGTGGACTTGTGGCAACCTTTGGCCGCCACACGGTGAAGGCCTCGAGCACTCTTCAGAGCACGATCAGCTTGAGTTCCGGTGAAGCGGAATACTACTCGATCGTTCGAGGAGTTTCCATCGGAATGTCGCTACAGGAGATCTTGCGAGGATGGGGCCTACAACCAAAACTTAAAGTGCACACAGATTCATCCGCTGCGCTGGGAACATGTAACCGTCAGGGCTTAGGCCGCTCACGGCATGTTCAAACTCGCTTTCTGTGGGTGCAAGAAAAGCTTGCACTACATGAATTCGAACTGGTGAAGATCCCGACAAAGCAGAACGTAGCTGATTTGTGCACCAAAGGTTTACCTGCGAATGAGATGGAAAGACACATGCAAAGCATGGGGTTCGAGTACTCTCATGGTAGAGCCGAAGCTGCAAAGGCTTTGGAATGAGTGTACATCAGCTTAGGAAAATCCCAGCCTCTGTACAGGAGGGGTGACGGGATATAGGGTTCTCACTAGTTGCTACGCCAACCTTTGGCTCAAGAACACCGCTGCTAAAATAGCGAGTTGCATATTCTCCGTTCACATACATTACATATATGAGTTTGGGCCAGCTCGGCACCGCAGTGTCAGGCATGGTGCCGGCCGCGGTCAAGAAGAGACCTATGTCCGTAAGCCCAATCATCATGGAGGGGGATGAGGAGGAGGAGGAGGAGTGAGCCGAAGCCGATGCCTCGACTCTGGTGGGGTTTGGGTCAGATTCCAGCGGAAAAGCCAGCGATCCTTTAGATCAGTCTCCGTGATTTTTGTTTGGCGGGAAACCCATGGATTTCCGTGTTGGAGGGTAAGTTTTAAAAGCATCAACCATCCAATTTTGTCAGCAATGAATTGACCCATACCCAGCTGGTTAAACGAATAGCAGTGGCTGCAAGGCGGCTGGCTGCACTCCTGGGGCTTGGAATCGCCAAATCCACCGAGATTTTGAGTTCCAACCCTGCCACGGCAAGACCCAGGGGTGCACAGATGCAGCTCGTAGGCTCGCGAATAGCGTGCGGCCACGGCCCTGGAAAAACTGGAAAGCGCAGTTGCTCCCAAAGGGAATGCAGAACAGGGCGCCACTTGGACATGTTTGAAATGTGCGTTGATCGGCATCCCAAAACATTTGATAACAAGAGATTCACAGATAAACTTTGCTGGACTTTCAGTTGCGGTGCCAATCGAACTTGGCAACGATTGAAGCTGGTAGAGGGATTGCAGCCAGATCTCAAGTCCAAATGACGCGAGGCCCACAACCAGGTTTCACGCAGAAAAATGGTCGCTGGATTCGGTGGGTTTATGGGCGATCGGGCCATGGCCATCCCCAATTTTTGAGGTCTGTGGTGGATGGGCCCAATGGGTTGGGTGCCTAATAAAGGGACTCCCCCAACCCAGAGTCTCAGCCTCGAGGCAGTGGCACCTTCGAAGTGGGATGTGTCGATCGCGCCATTGCCGAGACCCAAGGGACCCAAGGGACCCGAGGGATGGGGCACAGGAGCGATGACAATGATGGCCACTGCTTTCTGTGATACTTCTCATTGTATAGCATAACTTTAGACTGCGAAATAGGTGGATTATGGTGGATTATGGTGGATTATGGTGGATTGAATCAGTAAAACCTAAAACCCGCTGGAATGTCAGGATTTCTCGTTAAAGGTGGGACAGGTTGCCATCAGCCTCCAGCTTGGCAGAAGGCCTATGTGCCCAGGCCGGAAATCATCAAATCACCAAAAAAGCGCAGCATTCGAGGCACAGCTTGTTCTGGTTGAAGTTGAGTGGTTCATCAATTGGTTTCTTGGTTGCTTTTCCCTATTGGATTACGAAATCAACTAATCAGTTCACCAACAGCCTCACTAATATGGCAATGCCAATTTCATAAACCATCCCCAAGTCATCACCATTATTTAGGGGGGTTATGAAAAACCACCCCCAGTCATGGTAGGTTTATGACATTGGGTTGCCCACATGGCTGGGATGGTGGCACCGCTGCAGAACTCCGGAGCTTCCTAGAACAAAAGTACGGTGGCCCTGGCGGTGCGGGACGTGCATGGCGTGTGGCCATGGATGTGAAGGCAGGCAATGGTCCTGTATCAAGGGCTGGGCTTGGTAGGGTGAGTCTGAACATGTTTTTTTTTTTTTTCCCCCCTCCACCTTTTTATTTTTATTTTTTAACCATCGAAAAATGATGGAACAAAGGGTTGTTTGGGTGAGTCTGAAGATGCGGATGTTTACTCCAAATTATGGTCATTTTTATGCCAAAATGAGGCTCTGAAAGTCTGCAGCCAACCGGGCTGTGATGCATTGAAAGCTTATTCGAATTAGCTATGCTTGATGGTCGTTGTTTTAAATTGGGTATGGTCATGATGTATCTACGCACGCATGTATATGTGTACATACATATATACAGTCATATGCATATCCATACTCTGGTTGCTTGAGGTCAAATCCTTTCAGTCGGTTTCCTCCATAGGTTGCTTGTCATTCAAGGCGGTCAAGGCTGTCTTTCTGTCCGACTAGTTGCACAGCTTTTAGTGAACTGATCTCCCGGATCAATCCCAAGATCCCAAGGCACCACCAGCCACAAAGACTGGGATGGGACATGGCCAGCATCTGTGGGTATGGGGCAAATGATTTGCTGTCAGTTGGTCACTAACTCGATTTATCTAATGAATGTTGGTCATATCATTTGGGCTCGTCAACTTATACAGTATACATATTATGCGTAATATAATCTGGCACATATGTTCACACCAATGCACAAAATCTACAAAATCTACAAAATCTACAACATCCATCCATCCATCCATCCATCCATAAGTTCCATCAAGCCATGACTCAATGGTCCAGGGCAGAGGGGCTTTGAGCCCCTCGGACTTTGGAAGTGCCTGCCGTGCCGTGGGTCCGGAAAGCCCAGGGTCAGTGGTCGAGGATGGGGGTGGTCCGGGACGTTTTGGCCCTTGAACCTTCAAAAACATGTTTTTTTTTGCAATGGGTAGCTGATTTTTTGGAGATGGATGCTGATGTTGGGATTGGAGGCTTGGAATGGTTGGGATGGTTGTGATGGTTGTGATGGTTGTGATGTTTGTTTTGGTTGGATTGATTTCCACTTGACCATGATGGAGTCTTCTTGGCTCAAGTTGGAGTGGAACCATGCAGGTCTTGGAGGAAAGCAGCACGGAAAGCTCGGACAATGAGCTCGACCTGGAGCGACTGGATTCCGAGCCCATGGATGTCCAGCAAAGCTCCGCGGTGGCCCTGGCCATCAATATCTCCAAGAGCTTGGTGGGAGAAGGGATTTTGAGCTTACCTGCTGGCGTTGCGGCTGGCACTGGGGTCATCCCCTCCCTGGTGATCATGGCGGCATTTTGTTGTCTCATGATGTATTCGTTCTGGTCCATAGGTCGTTGCTGCGAGGCCACCAGTGCCAGGACTCATGGGGAGGTGGGTTTGGCGCTGGGAGGTCGCAAGTTTGCTGCGATGATGGAGGTGGTGAACCTGCTGAAGTCTGGCTTGGCATGTGCTGCTTATGCCTTAGTCATTGGTAAAAATGGTTCAGATGTGCTGTACACCTTTGGGGTGGAAGGTTGGATTCAAACACCCCAGGGCTGCTTTCTCTTCGTCCTGGTGACGTCTCTGCTGCCGCTGTGTTTCATACGCGACCTGTCCAGGTTGGCATGGACCAGTCTCTTCGGTTTGCTGTGTGAAGTTGCCGTGGTGATCTTCATGATCGTCCGCTTGGTGGGTGGTGAGTATCGCGTCGGCGGCACGTTCTACGAAAGCCAGCTGCCTACAACTGAGGTCAGCTGGGGCTTCGGAGGGCCCCAGATCTACACTGTGAATCTCTCAGTCTTTGTGCTGATTGGAAGCATGTCCACAGCTTTTCTGGCACATTACAATGCGCCCAAGTTCTATCATCAGCTACGGGTTCGCAACCCTAAGACCTTTTTCTGGGCTACTGCTGGGGGATATCTGCTGGCACTGCTATTGTATGCCACAGGTATGGTGGTGGGTTATCTCACCTTTGGCCAGAATTGCAAGGGGAACATCCTGCACAACTACTCCCCGCGAGATCTTGGGGCCACGTTCTGCCGCATGATGATCATGCTGGCCACCAGCTGCGGCTTCCCCCTGTGCTTCACAGGTCTAAGAAGTGCCACCTTGGCCCTGTTCAGCTGGGACTCCCAGAGTCTCACCTGGGTTCCGGTGAATCTACTTCTGCTGTCAGTGATAGCAGTGCTGGGCTCGATCCTAACGGATCTTGGAGTGGTGAACTCTTTGGGTGGTGTGACCTTGGGAACGTTGATCGAGCTGGTCTTCCCCGGCTTGATGATCATGTGGACCTACCGTGCCAAGTTGGGCAAATGGAGGCTTGGTGCCTTCGAGGGCACCATGGTGGCTTATACGCTGATTGGCCTGGGAGGGGTGCTGTTTGTCTTTGGAACCACCACGGTTCTTTGGATCAAGGTTTTTCACTTTCGCCTCTATCATACAACCACCGTTTATTTGCCAGGAACGTCTTAGTGATAAGCGCTTCTGTGTCCCAATTCACCCCAGTTCATCGCAGTTCTGCATTTAGTGGGTGCAGCTCATTCCCAAGAAAGGCACCACCGAGGGATGTCATGTGCCAAAGCCTTGCCATGACAACGTGTGATCGGAGGGCGGCGAGCCAGTGACGCAAAAAGGCAACTGCGGGGTTTGGTTGGGAGATATTGGGCCTACTATTCTATCTACCTTAATAGGGAATTCAGACAATTCAGCCAACCATTTTGTAACAAATTTGTATGGATATCATGAGGACACAATAAGAGATATACTGCACCGAGAAATATCATCAGTGTTTGCCAATGGGTCTTTCTAGATAAATGCCATGCACACGTTGCTTTTTGCTTCGCTCCGCAAATCACTAGCAATGCAGTCAACTTCCAGAACTGATCATGTGTATTTCAATAGTTCCACTTTGCCCACCACTAGACCCAGCAAAGTTTTATTCCTATTCTCACTTTTAGCAATTGGTTTCCCAATTTTGCTGGTGTGCCAACCCCCCTTCCATTCTTTCCATTTCATGGAAAAGATCGTCAAAATATCATCAGTCAGTAGATCCCCTATGGTTTTTCCATGTGTACACCATGGCCCCCTGGCTGTAGCCCATGGCCGTCCCCATCCGTAGGTTGGAAGCACGACCACCTGGCGATGTTCCGACTGCTGAAGGCCGCGGGCAACGGCCTGGTCCGTTTCCGCGCCCTGGACCCCGAGACGGCCGAGGCAGGGGGACCACGACTGCAGGGACGGCAGGGACGGCGGGCCCGGGCCAGGCCTTGGTGAAGTTCAAGGATGAGGCTGAGGGAAAGCAGGAGACCCCAGCCATAGCCATGATTCTGGACATCATTTTTATATATTTTCATCATGTATCAATATGTATGAGCCTTGTTGGCATGTGGGAAGAACATATCTTCAAATGCCAAGTGTCCTGTTGCTTCAACAACTCCAAGGCAAATTGCTTGTCTCAATTGGCTTGCCTGAATCTCCATCTTTTCCCGGTAAGATAGTTCATCAAAGCTTAAATCATCCCCCAGAAGTGTGCTTCGCAACCCAATTCATTCATTTTTGGCAATTTTTGGCCCATGGATCTGGGGCGAAGCAGCTAGGGATGATCAAAAAATTTCAGAATCCTCCCAAATCAGGAACCTAAACAGCCAAGAATTCGGTAGATTTTGGTTGTTTTCCCACCCTTTTTGGCCACTTTTAGCCAAAATTTCCCCAGGTGCCGCGGCCCGGTGTCCGACTTCTGGGCCCAGTGCATGGATCCGGGGGATGCGGGCGCCATGAGCCGCACGGAGTGGGATGCCCAGAGATGTGGATGGATGGATGGAATGGCTGGTTGGATGGGCATATGATGCTATGATGGTATGATGGTTGGATGGATGGTTGGAAGAGGCAGGTGATTTTTTCTTCAAAGCGAAATTGAAAGGAGAAAAAAGATGGAACAGGTTGGTGCCCTATGTTTCGACGGGTTTCTGGCTGCTTGTACCGACCCGGTTTAGAAATTGGGCCTGGTCCATCACTGCGCCAGGTTCTTGAACAACTTGCCGAAAATCTTAGGTGCAGCCAGGGGTTGATTTGCACCGACCTGGGGAATCCCACCCTTTTTCAGGAAAAACTGTAGGAAATCCACTCCAACATGTTGGAATTTTGAGCAAATTAAAACCATCGTTTCTCGTCTAGAAATAATTCTCCCAACCCAACTGCAGCACGTTGTTTCCACATGGCCAGCCTCGCAGCCTCGAGGCATGCCACGCGAAACTCTCGTGCGTGTTTTCAATGTGCTGGATCCTACGGACACGGGCTGGGTTGCCGGAGTGGAGCTTCAATACTTGGAGGCGAGCTAAACAACCTGAGCTGCCTTCAGCTGTCGAGGGGTGTCATTATTGTGCTCCATGGTGCCACTGTTTTCACAGCTCTCGACCTTTTCGTTTTGGCCAAACAAATGTTCCCCGGATCCAGTTGCGTCACCCCAAAGAGAAGCTGCCACGGCACAGACCTTCGAAAGCGGGCTGGCCGACTTTGTGGCCGAAAGGGAGCAGCAGGCCCCAGTGGCACGGTGGTGGAAAATGTCGGGTATGGGTAGTCCAGTTGTGGGGCTCAACCAACCCACTTACTAAGGGGTAAACCTCCAAGTATGGGTCGTTTTCGTCCAACATTTTTGGTTTCGATGTTCTTGGAAGCAACCTGGAAATTAATGGAATTCACGGCGCTTGGGAGCGCCATAAGGTTCTTTTAGGACCTGATTCGCAGATGATGGATACCCAAGTCTCGCAATGTGTAGGCGCCACTGCTTTCTGGAGCTGCTAACAAAGAGCCTATGCTGCCGACTGGTGTGCCTTCCTTAGGAGGCTGCAGAATGCAGAAAGGCGAAAGGGAACTCCTGATGTTTACCCACAGCAGTTCAACCCAAATGCGGATCAAAACACCTGCATTTTGATACGATTTTCCATGTTTTTCCGCAACTTTATGGGTTTCCGGGCCTCAACATGAGTTTGTTGTGGCAGTTGCATTGTTCGCTGCCGATCTGCAGACCTTGAGGTTTTGGCACCTTTCAATGTGCCCTGGCAGGCAGGGTACAGTGGTACAGCCCGGTGATCAGTGGCAACACCTCCAATGGCCAGGTGACCAATCGAAAGGTGCTGAGTACGCAAGACCTCAGGATCTCACCCTTGGGGCGCCAGGTGGGGTTTTGACGCTGTCGGTTTTGGATGTGCACCAAACTGTTGAGATAGAACGAGGACTTTCTCTTTGGATGTGCTGCATAAAAATTAGAACCTATTTAGCATAAAACAGCGACACCCACTCTAAGACCTTTTGAGAACCATCAAAACTTTGCAGTCAGAATGCTATGGGCGACGTGTATTGCCGCAGCCGGCCAGTTGTGGGCCCCTCATCGCAGTAGTCGCAGCTTCCAGTCGGGGAGACTTAGATCCTTGCGACGTGGCTGGCTGGAAAGTCCCCTAATGTATATGGAGGTTTCTAGCTGGGAAAATCATCTAGAAATAAGGGATTTCCACTTTCCTGCCCTTGGAAACTCTTGAACATCTCTTAGGTTCAATGGCAGATCATCCGCAAATGGGACAATTTGGTTGCCATGTTGGCGCGAGGTATCGGGCTCTGGAAAACACGCACTTGCTGAAGCATAGGCCACGGCAGTGAGTCTGCCAGATGGTTGTCAAGGATTATGGGTTGGACCTATTGACCACAAAATTTGGGTCACATCCTACCTTTTTTTCTGGTGAAATCCACATGTTTGTTGGTGGATTCCTCATTTTCCAGTGATTAAATGTCACATTTTGGTGGCCCAACGTCCCAACCGCTCCCAACATCCAGTCATTTTCATGGCCATCCTTCCAGCAGTTCGGCCGGCTGGCCAGGTGGCTGAGCGACACGGTGCAGGACAGGTGCTTGTACAAGAACTACGAGCCGGTGCGGCGCCAAAGACGCTTCTTCTGGATCATTCCGAAGGGTCTGAATAAGTCTGAACGTAGTCTGTTGAGAACCAAGGGTATCAAGCATGGAACCCCTAACAATTTCGTTTTCAAGAGTGGGAGAATCAATTTCCCATTGCCCACACCATAAAACATCTACCAGGATTCCATATCAGATTTCAAGGGTTTCAAGGCCGGGGCAGATGTGTCCATCATGGCCCGTTGCACTGCTGGCTCAAGCTCAGTTGGGGCCTGTAGCAGTGGCCTCAGCAGTTGATCCCAGCTGCAAAGTACACATCCATGACAGGCGCGGGTCCACCCTGGCGAACCTTCAACAGATCAGGGAACTGCAGGGAACTGCAGGGAACTGCAGGGAACTGCAGGGAACTGATTGGCAGATGGCCTGTTTTTAAAACCTGGTATTTGGTAACCATAGGTAACCTGATCCTGAGCTCCTGTAGCTTTGAGATCTTTCGGGCCCTGTGCAGGTGCCATGGCTGCGGCACTTCTGTGCTTACCATCCGTCCTTGCAGTGTCTGACCTTCACCTGCACAAGTATCAGGCGAAGTTGCTCTTGAAACCTCGGTGTTTCGGATCCCCGGTCCGCGTCACCAGTTGCTGTTTGAATCCAATCTGGCACCTGGCAATGGAACGTAGTGGAACATAGTGGAACATCCTCAATCTCTGTGAATTTCCTCCAGATGGATTTGAAATTGTCAGGGAGTGCCCTCCAAGTTGTTGCCATATGCTTCCCCATTGGACGACTTTCGTGCCCAGGCGGCTGCCTTTCAGTCCATGGGAAAGACACAGAAAGGTGGACCAGCTGAATCATCCAAGCGGTCGCAAAAACATGGAGAATTGGTTCTGGGTTTCAGATGTTTAATTATTCCCGGTTTTCCCTCCTAATGACCTAATGGGCTGATGGTTATAGACCAACTGATTGCCAATTGATGCACAAGTTGGGCATGGTGATGGGTTGAGAGTAGCCAATGGACAGTGTTTTGTGACTCATGATCCAGAAACGCAGGCCGCACATTGGAAGATGACGAGACGGGAAAACCCACGGTGGTGAACGGGGAGCATTTGGATCCCTACAATGTGTCCCGGTGGCAAATGGTGGATTTGCGGGATGCAGACGCAGATGTGTTTTTTTGCTGCTCACCATGCGTCGCATTTCAATGTAATTATATATTTCAATATTCAGTGGATAATGTCAATGTGTTTCAATATTCAACGGACAAAACCATTGAATAGCATTTCAATGCGTTTCAATATTAAATGGACATCTCAATATTTCCAACTATTCAGTGGATATTTTTGAACTATTTGCACAATGTGGGCCCTCAATTATAAGGTTAGTTTATAATTAAATCCCATGAACACTATATAAGTTGTAATGTAAGTATCATAAACCATCATGAAATTGGAGCTATCTTCACCAACGGCCGAAGCTTGGCCCAGTGGTTGGACATATCTCCAGGTGCCCGAGCAGTTGATTGGAGATGTGGGGCTGGCAGGTCCCAAGGGTGAGCCTGGCAAGAAAGGTCGGGCTGTCGGGCTCCGAGGGGTGGTGGGGTTGATTTATGGTGAAAATAGCCATGGTAAACTGACATAGCTATGGAAAATTGACATTTATAGATGCTGTACCTGTTTAAGTTTTTGGTTATTTTCCATAGCTATGTAAACGTTTACCAACTACAATGGTTTTGTAGCAAACTACAATGGCACAATGGTTAGCCCAGTGGTGGCTTTCTGCTGGTTAACCAGTGTGACAATGCTGACTGGTTGGTTTATTAGGCCTATGCCTAGCTAGGTCACAACAAACATAAGCCAAAGATTGTAACTAGCTTTTGGACACGTGAGAGCTGACAACCGGTGATTTTCCCAAGTTTGTTCGGGAACAAATCTAGAGGTGGGATGACCATAGCTGAACGGGGGCTGTGAGGGCGACATTCAGGGAGGGCTTGGGCCTTCGATTTTGTCCCTCCTTGGCCAGGCGTCTGTGGCGAACCAGGCCCGCGCATAGAAGTAGTTACCCTCTGGTAATTTCAATATAGCTATGGAACATCACCCTTTATAATTATATAATATTATATAGTTATAATTTACAACAATATTTTTTAAACAGAAGATCTATATGTGTGCCATTTCCATAGCTATGTTGAATTACTGGATGCTAAGTTAGAGTTGCCCCATCCTGGGCTTCTGGCTGGGGCCGCAATCATCGCAGCATGTCAGGTCCGATGGGAAAGAATGTGTCCGTTGCAAAGCCTGCAGCAGAGGAGGGTGCAGTGAGACCATCGGCTGAGAGTTGTGGATTAGTTGATGCCACCCCAAATACCCTCCGGTAATTTAACATAGCTATTGAACATTGCCCGTTTAGCTCGTTGATTTACCTATTAAAGATGGTGATTTTCCATAGTTTTTTTTAAAAAAATATAAGCGGGTATTTCAAAGGATGAGGTGATCAGAAGCGACTTTTGCTGTAGGACCTTGTGTTCTCCACATCTGCAGTGACCCGCTCCATGCTTTTAGAACTCGCCGGGGCCACAGATCCCCTGAAAGTGGCCATGCTTCAGTCAATGGGGATACAACAGTGGGGACCCTAAGAATGAGAATCCTCCCATTTCATGGTCTATTTAAGTGGTTCTACATGACTTGTTTTTGTTGGGAGGGTTTTGTTTCGGGACCCGCAACTCATTTGCAGATGTGGGCTGGTTCTTTTCAAGTATGATCCTATGTTGACCACAGCCAGTAGAACTCAGAGCATTGCTACGAGGATACTGGTTTCGCTACGAAGGCTCTGAATTCCCAACGTCCTCATGCAGCTTTTGCTCCGAGTAGCTGTCTCAGTTCATCCTCAACGTGCTCTGCTTGTTGATCTTGCACTACCAGCTGAAGAAGAGGATATCGCAGATGGCACCGTCAAAGCCACAGAAATCTGCTGGAGAGGACAGACGCACGTGTTTCCAGCGGCCTGTGAGGGACCGACCTTTTTTTTTTTTTGTGAAGTTCGGTCTATTTACTGTCAGGATACTTCAAAATCCAGCATAATCAAGCATATCATCTTCACTTTTCTCATTCAACTTGCAATAAAGATCGACATCAGGTCCTTTTTTTCGGGGAAAAGCACCTGAGTTTCAGATGTCACATCTCCAGCTCGCTAGGAGGCAGGGGATGACTCCTACATCTCCATGAGTTTCGGCATCGCAACTTATCAGCACTGCTCCGGCGCGGTGAATCTCCCACTTCAATCACCATATTTTCGGGATGGGTTTTGGAAGTACCGCCAATGGATTCTTGGTTTTAAAACAATCCTTCCTTACATGCGTCCTTCATTGCTTGATGTCGCGATCTTTTTTTTTGTTTTAAACTTGTTGTTTTCAAGAATGTTGCAGTGGTTTACTGGGTACGATGCCCAGGTTTTTTTGAAAAATTATGAAAATTTAAAGGGAACTTAGCAACGAGCCAGGCGTTTCGGTTGAACCCACATGGCACCCCTCTGAAATGCCATGCCTTGAGGCCAACGTCAACTTCCCCTCCATAGAAGAAGCTGGGCATGCAGCGGCCGTGGAAGACATAGCCCCTTGGCTCGTTCAGCCAAGACTATATAGCCATGGTGATGAGTTGACATGGTGATGTCGAGCCCATTTTTTCAAGTCCATCAAAAGGAGTACAGGTTCCAAGGGCTCATGGGAACTCCGGAAAGCTATGGAAGTCCACCAAGATATCAGCAGCCTCCGCCAACTTCCAGTCAACGCAGGTCAAGTCCGCCTTGGCCAAAGCTGCTGTGGCGGGGGGAGCCCCAGGTCTGCCCAGCTCGAGTGCTTTGGGAAAAACCATTTGGAGGATTTTTTTTTTTGCTGAGATCATCCAAACAAATTGGGACATAAATTGGAGCTCTTGGGCTTTCCAACATTTGGAACGCCCATAAGCAACTAAACGCGCGCACATTTAACAGGGACAGAGATTTTTGGGAATCTGAGCCAGGCATCGTGGCAGACAACGCTGCAGTGGCCATGGGCGAAGGTGATGAGAATAGTGCCCCAGCCGGCCATGGGGATGGAACCCGGGGGAAACTGGGTTGTCACCAGAAAAGGTCATTCAATCAGCAAAAAACGGCGATGTAACGTGATTTAACGTGATTTAACTGTGAAAATTAAGGATATCAACCGGAAAGATGGGAATGCCACCAGCAAAGTTGGATTTAAGCGACAAACATGGCAAACGACCAAGAAAGAATGAGATATCCTGGGATCTAACTGGCCTCCTTTGTGCTTGCTAAGCCCTGGTCACTTGTGCAGAGGTAAATCATCCCCTCCCTCCCCAGCAGCCCAGCAGTCAATGAAAGTGCCCCCACAAGCTGACAGTGCCTCAAGGGGTCCTTCAAGTCCCGAAACATCCGCATATATGTCCCGCCACACTCCACTTAGAGCTCATTGCCTTGGCATTTTTGGCATGAGGTACCTTGGTATCTGCCACAATGAGTCCTCCAGACGGGGTCTCGGTGACTCTCCTACAGCAGGCAGGGTGATTGCATTGAACATGGAGGAATCCGCCAGTTCACCAAGGGCCATCATTTGTTGAGGGATGGAGGATAATGGTGGCCGATTCTGATTTTCTGAGTGTACGGACGTGTGCGCGCCCCAAATGTCCTGGTGCGAGGCCTTGGCCAAGGGCCAGCTGCAGGCGCTTCTTCCGAGATCCTTAGATGCAGCACCTGGAGTGGACAGCTTTAAGACAGGCCAGGGCTGGGAGATCTGGGGAAGATGCTACTGCTGTGGATGTCCCTTCCCATCCCTTGGAGACATCCGATGGGCCCTATCCACCCGGAGCACGTGTCACAGGCCCCATTTCGGTGACAGACTTCGAGAGTCAGATCGAGAAGCCGTCTGGCGCAAGCCTGGCTTGAGTTAAAACAATGGTGAATGGCAAAAGCTGAGCTTCCTAGAGTTGGACCTACGCAATATAGATCCATCTATCTATACAGCCTCTCTTGCCTTCGAAGATGACCTATCTGACCTATCTGAAGTTCTTATCATTTCTGTATATCTTGTGCAAGACCGACTGCCCACACCCAACTGGCGGATGGCAGCTTCAGCTCTTTCAAGAGTTGCCCAGCCAGGGGGAGGCAACAGGTGAAGAAGAAGAAGCAGGGGACATGATGAACATCTGAGGAAGGCGGGAAAGCGATGCAAAGTTTGTCAGTTGAAGGGACCTGTCGGATGCTGAGAGATTTCGATCAAGGAGGCTGAGGCTGCCTTCTTATGGATCCTTATGGATCCAGGAGAAATCGTTGGGTTCAACTGACCAAAGAAATCTGTGGCTTTGGTCGCTCAGGTGGCGATGGCTGTGGCCTGCGCACAGCACACGCAGAGCAAAAAGCTGCGCGTTTCTTTTGTCCCGTCGGGGTAGGGAAGAAACGAACAAAGAGTAGAAGGGAAATGCTATGAAATGATGAAATGCTAACTTAACATATAGTTTGATGATCTTGGATGATAATTGATGATGTTTGAGGATTGAAGAGAATCTGAAATAGCGAAGCAATGCGTGCTGGTTTTGCCCTGCGCTTTCAAGTGGTTGGAGAACTTGCATCCCAAAGCTGCCCTAGGCTGAGAGCATGCGATCTGAGCACAGCAAAGTGTCCCTGGCCCACACTGGTGATGTGTGGCATCTCTGGATTTTTCCCAGGTAGACCAGTGACCCAAAGGCTCAGCACTGGTCAGTTTCAGGTGGAGGTTAAGATGTTGGGCCGAACAATGCTGCACATTTTTATCAACATGCCTCCCCTGGTGGGTGGTTTTATTTTTCAAAATGTCCATCCCAACAAATGGGATGGCTTTTTGCTCACCGATGAATATCTTCAAGGGTGGTGTTTGTTCTATTACGGCCTCCCAGGTTCAAGAAGAAGCGAAAGGATTTCATCTTCCGCACCAGCCATGAGTTCGCAGCTCAGCCGGACCCTGGTACCTTGGAACGCTGGAACCCTTGCTGCCGGGTTGCAAAGTTGGGTTACTCTCCAAGGTTCTACCGGAAGGGTGTGGAAAGGCTCATCCATGGTGAGGTCGGGGCCGTTTCCTTCAAACCGTTGGTTCCAATGTCTGCTTTTGGAACCTGCACAAAAATGGATTTGAAGATATTTTTCTGTGCTTTCCCTATCTGTAACTTTTTTTCTGCTCCAAGTCTGTTGTTGAAGTTTCAGGCGTCGCCGCCGTGACCATCGCCGTGGGGGCCGAAACTTCGTTATCCTCAAGGCATTTGAGCAGTGCCGTTGATGTTGGTTGATGGTGATATGGGTACGGGTTCAAGGTCTGGGTCAAATTTTGCACACCTAATTTTTTTGGTAACATGTTATTTTGCAAGGGTGTATATTTTTTTTTTGGGTGTTCCCTCTGTCGGAATTTATGCTCTGAACCAACCAGTACAAGGTCACCCCATGCTTTTCACCACTTCTCATTTGTTGCATGAGGTTCCTGAGTAGCCATCAACCAGCAGGGTCAACGCTTTGAAACTCGCAGGTAATGATGAACTGGGCTGGTCTCGATTCTTTGGAGCGGGGACAGTGCAAGAATGCTTGCACATCCCTAGCTTCTTGGATTTGCAACAGGCTTTTGTTCCCATCTGCAACTGAATCAAACTGCTGAAGCCCAAGGAAATTTGCTGTTGTCCATGTCAGAGCTCCTGTAAATCTATGTCTCACCCCCTTGCCCGCGGAAGCTCCCCAACCCAGCGCTTCTCAAATCGAGAAGGGCACGAGGATGAAGAGCCACGAGCAAAATCAGCGGGATGTCGAATGGTTGGGAAAAGGCCATCCTGGACCTTTGCCTTTGGAGAAATTCAATCAAGCGCAGCAAGTCACCACAATGCCTTGGCCCAAACTGCAGCACGTACGCCGTAGAACGGGGTAGCACGCCGTGGCATCCCACCGGTGATCCCAGTCCCCAAATGGACCCAAATGGCAAAAGAGGTGCCCGGCGAATGCCTATGGAATATGATGCCACAACTAATTTGGGCGGCTTCTGAGTGGGAGAACTTTGGTGGCCATTTGTGGCATGACCCAATTCGGAAAGCATAACCGGGGATACATGCAAGCCATCATGCAAGCGCGCCATGGATTTGCCATGGAAATGCACCGAGAATGGAGGCATCGCTCAACATCCCGTGCGTTGGGTGGTGCCACCTTCGTCAATCGGGTGAGTGTGCTTCACCGATTTTTAAGGTTTGACGGTATCATCTTCGGACGCTAGATAATATATATATATGCCATAATGCTGAGCGTACTGTGGGTGGCGTCGCACAGGGAGGTTTGTTGATTTGTGACGACTCATGCATGGTGAATCCGGATGTCTTTCGGCCATCTTGCCCAGCGCAGGAACTGGCGCCTGAAAGTTTAAGCTCGACATCATGAAAGCGCAGCTTGTCAAAAGTATGTTGAGCCAAGATTCATCAGTCCGAATCAATCCTATTTCAGTCCTTAAGGATTCCTCAATTAGTGATGGTTCCAAGCATACATGAAACCCGCATGTTGATGACAAGAGGCTTACAAATTGTGGTTGGAGCAATACCGGGTTCTTCAAAAAAACAGCCATCCTGTCACGCTCATTGCGAAGAAACTTGCGTGCCCCCTTTCCCCCAATTTAATGTTGTTACGTCGCTTTGCTTGGAAAGGCCTTCAAAAAAACAGCCATTTCGCCTCGGATGCCGGCATGCATTTGGCAGCAACATTGATCAAGGGGCCGCGGGGGGACCAGGTGTGATGTTACAACATGTAGGAGGATGGCTGTTTCTTTTTGAAGAACCCGGGGAAGATTTTTTTTTGGCTTATGGATGTGCAAACGCAAACTTGAATAATTTCCCTTTTGCACGCGCCAAAACCCCAATCCAAACACACTTTCATCTTCACAGCTGCTACCCACAAACAAAGAAGCAACGTTGCAGCATATGCTCCGCATGTGGGCAAAAATTGGAGATCAGAAGCTGTGTGCCGTGCACTTAGAGTGCACGCACAGTGCGTGCACTGTGCAAAACACGCAGTTTGTGCAATTCTGCTTCTGGAGGCGTGGAGGCACATTCTTTGTTTGTGGGGAGCAGCTGTGAAGATGAAAGTGTGTTTGGATTGGGGTTTTGGCACGCAAGCTTGCGTTTGCACATCCACAAATCCAAAAAGCAAATCTGTTGTGCTCTGTTTGGATTGTTTGGTGGGTAGCAGCCTTGAAGATGAAAGTGCGTTTGGATTGAGGTTTTGGCAAGTTCAAAAGGGAGTTTGTTCAAGCTTGTGTTTGCACATCCACAAACCCAAAAAAAAATCCCGGACTGAGTCCGGGTTCTTCAAAAAAAAACAGCCATCCTGTCACGCTCATTGCGAAGAAATTTGCGTGCCCCCTTCCCCCAATTCAATGCTGGGAAAGGCTTTCAAAAAAAAACAGCCATTTCGGCTTGGATGCCGGCATGCATTGGGCAGCAACATTGATCAAGGGGGGGCGGGGGATCAGGTGTGATGATCACATGTAGGAGGATGGCCGTTTTCTTAGAAGCACCCGGTAGCAAGCCTCTGACACTGGGAATGGTTACCTTGAGTGATAGGAGATGTCAGAAGTCCAAACCAGTGAGCAGCACTTCCCCGATCACAGATAGACGCCTGCGCATCCAAGGCGTATCCCAGCGGTCAGCCGAGGCGCCAATGACGAGACTTGCCCCTTCCCAGGGGAAGCTTGGACACGGCTTTTGCGGATTGGAAGCCAGCGCCACTAGATGAGAAGGAGAAACGTACACTGAAAGGCATCGGCAGTGATTCGTAACCCGCCTAGGCGATTCACATTTTTTTTCCCATGGGTTTTGGTGATTTGGTGAGTGACCGTGCAGCAGTGGACTGTGGAGGTGGCAGGTTACCGCGCACATCTTGCAGGTTTTTGGCTCCAGCGGTGGAGCGCCCCAAAACACCAAAGCACCTGGCCCTTGACAAAATCAAACCCAGGAGAATGAAATATTTGTGAAACCTATGAGATCAGCTAGTATGAAATATTTTGCAGGGGGAACACCTTATCAATTTGGCTTCTGAATTCTGAGCTATCCATGCACTTCAGCCGTGCAACTTTGCTGCTGTTTGCTCTTGGGAAACTTGCATTTGCTCAAGCAGCTTTCTTTTCTCTCCTGTCTGGGCCATCCAATATCCATGCCGGCCATTGGAATCAAGTTGACTTGGGAGAACAAAAATCATGGATCCAACCTGGTCTGAGAGTTCCCCGTTCAAGTTTCGTCACATCTCCCCAGAAAACGTGTCATCATCCCACCGGTCGTTTGTGAGTAGTGTATTGTGTATCCCTTTTATGGATGTTCATCACATTCAATGCTTGGCAGAAGAAACACGCGTGGTTCCATGTTAGAAGTTGCCCCCTCCAGATCCCCAAGTTCTTCGAATCTGCTAGGATGTCTAATTCTAGTCATGTTCTGCAAAGTGTTTCTGCACCCAACAGTCCCCGTTTGGCTTTGTGGCAAGCCCACCAACCACAACCCCCAACGGGTACGGAATGTGGCTGGTGGTTTCGCAGTTTCACATATCGAATTTTCCAACCCCTACCTGCGCTGATCCCCAGTTGACCCTTACTGCTCTTACGTCTTTGGGATGGGTGGCCCAACCACCAACCAGATTGGGATCTCAGGCTGCAGGGACTCCAAAGCGCAGAGGCTTCCTGGTGCCACGCCCCTGCTGGCAGCTGCGTTGGGGAGCGCCGCGGTTTTGAGAAGAAACGTTTCCCTATTAGAGGCAGGACATCGAAGCCGGAGAACTAGTGACTTTGGTAGCCTCGTAAATGATGGTGAATATTATTGGGGGTAACCATCAATTTCATGCCATCCAAACCAGGCAGTGAGACCCATCTTAAGATTATCTTGGTAGATCTTGGTACAGAAACATCAGGAAGGCCCTAAACTATGAGATGGCAGCCAGTATCCTGGAACATCTGTAGAACATCTCGCACGTGCAAAAGGAATCCGGAGCAAAGTTGAGATCAACATGACGCGCGTGCAATTTAGATGCCACTTTAGGATGTTTAGGATGTAGTCGTACTTGTCATGTTTTCCCTGTGTTGGGAGGTTTTTCTTCTTGCGTACGGTCCAGGGTATTGACCCACTCAATGTGTTAATTGCCTTGTTGAAGTGGAGCATGTGCATGTGTTTGCCAGTGTGCGTGCACAAAGTTCTTTGTTTGGTCGGCGTCTGGTTCCCGAACTGGCCTTCATGGGGGGGAGCTGGGGAGCCTGTGCGTGAGGCCTAGCTCAGAGACGTGGGAGCAACAAACGTTTGTTCCACTTTGCTGATTGGCATGGTGATGGCGATGCAGATATTCTTGCTGGCAAATATTACCCAGAAGATGAAGGAAAAGAAGCTAGCACTTTCCGAATCCATTTTCATGAGCGGCTCTCGAACAACACCTTCCGCATCCAAGAGCTGCTAAAGACGCCAGTCATTCGTCACACCCGGCAGGAAGTAAAGCTAGCTCACAGCTTTGATTTTCAGGTTGCAGATTGGGATGGAGATAAGAAGTTGGACTTATTGCTCTGCACTCGGGTGCTCTCAGCGCCCATGAACGCGTCCTCCATTGCCGAAGTGCGGGTTGAGGACTCCTGGGTAACCTTCCTGAGCCACGGGCTCCTTCCTCTGAACTCCCTTGAGAAAGGCACCGTGATCTTGAATGGAGGAGAAGGCGATCAGCCTGGACGTTTGGAGCAGCGACAGTGTGATATGAAGCCTGTGGACTGGGACGAAGACGGTGACCTTGACCTTTTTCTCGGCGACAGATATTTCGAACGTCGGTCGACAAACTTGACAGACCTGGTGGAGCGCACGAACCCCCTTAGCAAGTACAATGGCACAGTGATGCAGATCGTTGACTTCGATGGCGATGGACATGTGGAGCTGATCGTTGACACCTTGCCCACAAGCAACAAACATAACTATCGTTCACTTGCCTTCTTGCGGCGGGCTCTTGACGGTAGCTTCGTTCAGTCTGCGGAAAACCCCTTCACCGAGGTCGAGGTGAGCAAGTCTTCGAGGGATCAGGGTGAGGTTTACGTCGCAGACTTGAACTCGGATGGCTTGCCAGATATTTTGGTTGTGGCCACAGGGTTAGACAGCTGGCCAGTGTCTGGATATTATGAGCAGGTTCAGAACTGCGATATGGAGCATAATTTCCATCTCAATGGTTTTGAGGACATTAAATATTACGGCGCGTTTTCATATCCAATGGTCGTAGATTGGAACCAGGATGGAGTGGACGATCATGTGCTCGTCGGCGGCGATCTCCTCCGTGTCCGGGTATACGAGATCAAGGGTCTGGATGTCCAAGAAATTCCACATGAATCAAATAGATCAAAGGAATTTGACGATATCGGGTGCACAGCGATGCACTACTGCACTTTTGTTGATTGGGATGGGGATGGCGACCTCGACCTTCTTCAAACCACACATCATGGGAATTTGGCGTACTATGAAAGGGTCCATGGCCGCTTCGTTATTGGATATTCAGGTATTAATCTTATTAGCAGTGGCAATTCCAACGTTTATGCTCCAGTGGACTGGGATCAGGATGGCGATATGGACATGGTGAGTGGAGATGGGCGCTATTATGAGCAGCTGGCCGATGGTAGCCTAAAACTCTGGCGGCAGAACATTTTCACACCATTTCTGGGACCCACAGGGAAAGGCCAGTGTTGGCATGCAATGAATTGTGCCCTGCGATTTCTCGATTGCGACGGGGATGGCGACTTGGACTTACTCCAAGTGGAGTGGTCCGAAGACCCTCCAGTTCAAGTCTGTGAGCACGACAGCCTTGCAGGAACTTTGACATGCGGCCATGATTTCCGATGTCTGGGAGCTAATCTCAGCAACTTCCGGCCTAGTCACTTCAAACAGTTTGGCGAATTGCTTTCCTTGGACTTAGTGAATGTTTCGGATGGCCGTTTGAAGTTCATTGCGTTTCATCAGGACAGGTTCCAAGCCGTGCTTTGGACCCCTGGATTCTGCACATCTGAAGGCGCATGTCACGACAAGGGCTTCTGCGGGAAGAAGCAGTTGCAGTGCACCTGCGGCGCGGGTCATGAGCTGGGCGATTGCTCTCAGTGTCAACGAGGCTTCCATGGGGTTCTCGGGAAGCTAGGGCAGATTCGCAACTGCAAGGCATGTCCGGCAAAGAATGGGAAGGTGTGCGACGGCCGCGGAGACTGCTTTGATGATGCAGCAGCCCAAGCTCTTGCAGCTCCAACGCAGGGGTCGGCAGTGGCATTCATGGCAACAGGGAATGGCTCATGTCGCTGCTATGAGGCTTGGTTTGATCCTGAAATGAATGCTTGCGGCGATGAATCAAGTCATGCCAGGTTGATCATCAGATTATTTTAAATCCCCGCTCACCATTCCACACACAGCCAATCCAAATCCATCTTGTTTTTGATGATGATTAACATTTTCTCGTCTTGGCTTTGTTCGCTGCATCCCGGCTGTTTTCCTGAGTAAAAGCACAATGCTGCAGAGCAATGAATAGTATCGGGTGGACCGCGGTCTCCCCAAAGTATGCAGGTTGGGTATGGTATGAATCTCTTGGAGCATGTGGAGAACACAAATTCGGTTGAATGTATGAAGATGAGTTCTCCGTGGGGCATGTTAAAGCGGTTTAAAGCGAGTTTTCTTTGGAGCGCGTGAACAACATATTCTGGGGAGGCCACAAGGAAAACAATGGCTTCTGAGAATACCCTTGCAAAATAATATTTTCCAAGGAAAGTGCGAAGAACGACATGTCTAAAGAATTACGAGCCTTATATACGTATATATATATATATATGTATGTATATATGTATATATGTATATATGTGTATATATATATGTATATATATATATATGTGTATATATACACACATATACACACACACATATATATATAGAAATATATATATATATGTACAACGAAAAATGCGGAATCATTCGTAATGATGTCCCTTCACCTTCTTAAGAAAAACCGCAGGGAAAGTGGGAATGGTCATGGCTGGCAAAAAAAGAACATATCCTACTGGATGGGATGGAGAAAGATGTTGATGCAGACTTGGGGGTCAAGATTTTAGAATATTTCAGGATCCCTCAGCCCACCCACCGGGTCTAGCGTAGGGCGTAGGGAGGGGCCTCTGCAAACCAGCGCTGCCTGTTCACAGGTATGAAGACCGATAAAGATTATTTTACTTCGAGTGACCCCCACAGTGACAAATTATTTTGTCATAGTTTCTGACATCTCCTCTAGAGTATATTGGTATATACTTTCTGACATTCTATTCTGATCCTATCTGACATTCTATTCTGACATTCTTTTCTGGCATTCTATCTGACATCTATTCTGACATCCTATCTTGCATCCTTTCTGGATTCTCTGGCATCTATTCTGGCATTCTATCTGGCATTCTTTCTGATATTCTATCTGTCATCTATTTTGCCATTCTATCTGACATTCATTCTGGCATTTTTTCTGGCATCCATTCTGGCATTCATTTTGGCGTTCCTTCTGGCATTCTATCTGGCATTCTATCTGGCATTCAATCTGACATTCTCTCTGACATGGGCACTGCCAGATCAACCGCGAGTGCCAGATCTGGCGCTCGTGGTTGAGCTCCGCCATTGCTCACTGAGATCTGGAGCTCGCAGTCCCACTGAAATCTTGAGCTCGGGGTTGAGGCCTGGCAGCCCACTGAGTCCGCAGTTGAGGTCTCGCGATGCGCACTGAGATCTGAGCTCGGGGTTGAGGTCTGGCAGTACCCACTGAGATCTGGAGCTCGCGCTTGTTGAGGTCGGGCAGTGCCCACTGAGATCTGGAGCTCGGGGTTGAGGTCCGCGGTTAGGGTCCGGCAGTGCCCACTGAGATCTGGAGCTCGCAGGTGAAGCAATTCAGAAAAAATCTGGAGGCCCTCACCTGGCAGGTGGGGAACCAGCGACAGCATTAGTCTTGCAGCATCAGGTTTAGAAGCATGCGGGTTTTGAAGTTTTGTTTTGATATCGGTTTTTGATGACCAGACTTTTTTAACGGTTTTCATTCCTTCACACCCTGCAAGGCCCATTTCAACGGCAGTGACGTGGATGGTCGAAGCACCTGTGCAGGTGGCATCTGCCCCGCTGGATCCGAAGAACAAGATGGGACATGCCGTCCGTGTGACGAGGGCTCTTTTTCCCTCGCAGGGGGCCCTTGCACAAAGTGTGGCTCTGGAAAATATTCGCTCGCAGCAAGTAGCAGCTGCTTGGAATGTGAGCCTGGAAAAGTTTCAGAGACTCCAGGAGCTTCAAAGTGTGACGCATGTCCACCAGGCAAATATGAAATCGACTACCAATCGTGCAGTGGCTGCCCAGCTGGATTTATTTCTTCAAGGGGAAATTCTTCATGCACCAAATGCCCAGCAGGGTTCATTGCACCAACAACAGGTTCCTCAACTTGTGCGCAGTGCCCGGGTGGAACCTTTGCTCCTCCAGGCAGCAGTGTGTGCCAGGAGTGCCTTCGTGGTACATATTCCTTGGGTGGGAGCGGCAGCTGCTTGCATTGCCGGGCTGGCACAGTGTCAATGGTTGATGGAGCTTCGACATGTAATCTTTGTCCAGCAGGAAGAGAAGGGTTGAACGGCCAGTCTTGCAGTCCTTGCAGGAGTGGATTCTTTTCGCCAAGTATTAACAGTTCATGTATGAAGTGCCCAGCTGGATTCAAAGCACCAAAGACAGGCAGTAGTGCATGCGAGCCGTGTCCTGGAGGTTTTTATTCAGAAGAAGGTGCTCCGACCTGCATTCAATGCCCTGTGGGCAAAATTTCAAGTGGAGCCGGCGGCAAATGCAGACAGTGTGACGCCGGAAGCTTTGCCAAAGACAACTTGTGAACTGTGTCCAAGTGGAACCTTTGCTCCTCCAGGCAGCAGTGTGTGCCAGAAGTGCCTTCGTGGTACATATTCCTTGAGTGGGAGCGGCAGCTGCTTGCATTGCCTGGCTGGCACAGTGTCAATGGTTGATGGAGCTTCGACATGTAATCTTTGTCCACCAGGAACGGAAGAATCCAAGCGCCAATCCTGTAGCCCTTGCAGGAGTGGATTCTTTTCGCCAAGTATTAACAGTTCATGTATGAAGTGCCCAGCTGGATTCAAAGCACCAAAGACAGGCAGTAGTGCATGCGAGCCGTGTCCTGGAGGTTTTTATTCAGAAGAAGGTGCTCCGACCTGCATTCAATGCCCTGTGGGCACCATTTCAGGTGCAGCTAGCGGCAGATGTGACAGCTGTGAAGGGAACTTTTTGAGGGCAGTGCCTGATGGCACGAAGCAAAGCTGTGAAGTTGATAGCATGCAGGTGCTTCTTCTTGCGGCATCTGCTCTTGCGTCGGCTGGTTTCTGTTTCTTGTGTTTGACTGGATTTCTTGGCAACGCTGCCATCGCAGATGTATCCGCCCAGGGCCAGAAGGTGGTGATGACCACGACCCTGTCGCACTTTCTGCTGAAGCGCTCCCAGGTGACTTTCACAGGCACCGGGAATCCAAAACTCGAAGGCCAGTCTTGGACGGTGCAAGCCCTGAACTCCTTCCAGCTGACACTGCAGGTCGAGGGCAGTGACTTGGATCAACTGGACACCTCCATGGGACGTTTGCGTATCAAGTGCCCAGGTCCTTTTATCCACACGGGTCTGTGGCGTTGTCCTCTCATTTTTTGGTGCTTGCTTTTCGGGGCTGCCAGTGCATGTGCCATGAGCCAACTCACCTGGTTTTTGAGATTATTGATGGCCGGCTTCGGAGTCTTTACTGGTTCTTTGGCATTCGCTTGGCGGTTCAGGTGGGGCTTGGCTCTGCTTGTAACTGTTGTTGTTTGCCGAGGGTTTGGTAGGAAGTTCGAGCATGTTAAAGCCATTCCCTCATGCATGTGCTTGCTAAAGCAGAAACAAAGCACAGTTGCTTTCCTCCAGGCACACCCGATGCAAAAGGATCAATGAGGAATGATGTGCTTGGATGTTTGCGAGCCCTGTCGCCAGGCAAGGTCAGCGAACTCCGCTCTCCAAACGCCGACGGCAGTTTCTCAAGGAGTGGCCGCTCCCCCGCCAGACTTGCGAACGCGGTCCAGAGCGATCAATGACCGCGGGGCAATTGCAGGACTTTGTGCAGTGTCTGGGATCAAGAGATCCAGTTGTGGAGGGGTATTGATTGCAGAATGAACACCAGCCGCTTTCACAATTTAATTTTTTCATGGCCACCTCGTTCCAGGGTTTTAAGCTCGGTTTGAAAAGTGTATTCATGTCCCCTGTGGAGACATTACCTGGATATAAAGGGCCAGTGTCTGATTGGGTTCTAAAATGCATGTGGATGTTGGGGCTGGCTTGGACGGGGTGTTGGATCATGCTGGATCATTGCAGGTTCTTTGAGGCCTTCATCAAGGAGCGCTCCATGTATTACGTTTGCTCCAACATCGTGAAGCCTTTGACCAAGCCCTTCCAGCTTTCCTTCGTCGAGTTGGTCGGCCCAACGGCCATGGAATGGTTTGTAAGCCATTACTGGGGGATGGCCGTGCGGCATTTCAATGATGCCATCGGTTCCCCGGACTTGCAGAAATGAAATTTGTTTGCTCTTGCAGCTAGGACATTTTCGAGCATTTTCGGGAGACCTGGGCATCTTGTAGGGTTTCAGAAGGGTTCAAACACACACACACAATTGAAATGCATATCAAAATAAGATTGATATAAATAAGATTAGCAGAAGGAGATGGAAAGATGGAAACGTATGGAAACCACGAAACCCGAATGCAAAGGTAGGGAAGAGATATCTCCGCGAGGCCTCTTGTAGAGCACTTTTTTACTCATGTGTCACACTCCCCTGTGATGCTCTTGTAGAACATTCCTGTTCAACTTTCTTGTAGGATACGCCCTTGGAAGATTCCTGCTTGATGCCCCCCGTCGCAACTCCAGACACTCCTCCAAACCATTCTTGTGGGAGCGACATTGCACCACTCTTGTGGAACACTCCCAGTGCACCAAAATCATTTGTGCGCGGGTTGCGCTGTGGCTCGAAGTGAAACCCCGCCACAACAGAAGCCACTATTGGACGCCCAGTTTTCCATGCGAATCGTTGAGAGGGTTGCTGCTGACCAAACACTCTGGCACCCCAAGACTCTGCGCGGGCTACGCGCTCTGGGCGAAGTGAGACCAAGATTTGTAAATCCAATTGTGGTTCTTGTGTCCCGAGGCAAGCATGCCATGTCGTATGCGAGCGAGGCGAGCGAGTGGCGTGGATTGGCATATTGGATCTGTACTTTCAGCAATAGCCAGTGGAAAGTCAAAGATGAGCTGGGGATTGGAGGTTGGCAGGCGGGCCGCATATCTGAAACAATGCTGTAATAGACTCTGCAAATCATAAGGATAATGATATAAATATATAATATAAAGGGAAGTTTAGTTGCCAAACTTCCGAATTACGGACGATTTACAATCATTGGCTTTCACCTCGCCAAGTCAACCACACTGAAAGCATCATTAGTTGGAAGTTCACACAGGAGGTAGCTGAAGCACTAGAGCATTTTGAGAGCCAACCAGTGCGCAAACGAGTGCAAGTGCGCGAGAGATTGCGCGTGAAAGAAGTGCGCAAAACACTGCGGAAATGCACTGCGTAAATGCAGGTTCTGTTACCTGTGCGGCCGTCAAGGGATGGTCTGTGTTTCCGTGCCTCGATGCCTTGGTCCGAGAAAGGCGAAAGCTGTTTTAAAAATTGCAAGAGACTGTTGCAAGAGCACGGTATTCCAAAAACGGGCCAAGCAACTCAGGGTGTTACAGGACAACCCCAAGACCACAAAAAGCAGCCAGTCTATCGAGATCAGCGCGCGCTTTTGCCAACATCACCCAGATTTCCGCGCATTTGTGCTCCTGCCATGGAAAGGACACTTGTAAATTTAGAGCTTCCTGGGCCTGGGTGATAGTAAATAAATTCTCACCGCTGCGTGCGGGAAAGTATCACTGATGACGCAGCTCTCCTGCCATGCGGGGCTGCTGAAACGCAAAGTCATCGCGGTGCGACTGAGACTTCCAGCTGCGGTGCGATACCAAGACCATGCGGCAATGCAAGTGGAGGTCGCCAAATACATTGTAACAGCTGTGCAAATTTTGGAGGGTGTTTGGATATGGTGAAAGATGCGGCCTGGAGAAGCATTAACTCACCGGAGAACTGGTAGGGGGAAGATTCGAGTCAGAAGAAGAGGTAGCCGAGAGAAGCAGTAACCGAAACAGGAGCTAGCTCAGAAGTAGCTCGGCGAAGGTAGCAAGAAGAGGAGGAGGAGGAAGTAAGAAGAAAAAAATAAATGAAAATCACGAAGAATCTCATTCACTGAGGCATATCATACAGAAAGTCATTGGCATTCATTCGCTCATTCGTTCATTCACTCATTCGTTCGTTCGTTCGTTCATTCATTCATTCATTCATCCATTCATTCTTTCATTCTTTCTTTCTTTCATTTTCATTTTCATTTTCATTTCATGTCATTTCATTTAATTTCGTTTCGTTTCGTTTCGTTTCATTCCATTTCATTTCATTTCCATTGCATTTCCATTCATTTCATTTCATTTCATTTAATTTTTGATTTCATTTCATTTCATTTCATTTCCATTCATTTCATTTCATTTTCATTTCATTTTCATTTCATTTCATTTCATTTTCATTTCATTTTCATTTCATTTTCATTTCATGTTCATTTTCATTTCATTTCATTTCATTTCCATTGCATTTCCATTCATTTCATTTCATTTCATTTCATTTCGTTTAATTTTTGATTTAATTTCACTTCATTTCATTTTCATTTTCATGTCCATTGTCATTTCCATTTTCTTTTCTTTTCATTTCATGTCATTTCCTTTTTTTATTTTCATTTTTATTTTCCTTTTCCTTTTCATTTTCATTTCATTTCATTTCATTTCGTTTTATTTCATTTCATTTCATTTCATTTCGTTTTATTTCATTTCATTTCATTTTCATTTCATTTCATTTCATTTCATTTCCATTCATTTCATTTCATTTCATTTCCATTCATTTCATTTCATTTCATGTCATTTTCATTTCATTTTCATTTCATTTCATTTCATTTTGATTTCATTTCATGTCATTTTCATTTCATTCATTTCATTCATTTCATTCTTTTCATTCATTTCATTCATTTCATTCTTTTCATTCATTTCATTCATTTCATTAATTTCATTCATTTCATTTCATTTCATTTCATTCATTTCATTCAAATCATTCATTTCATTCAAATCATTCATTTCTTTCATTTCTTTCATTTCTTTCATTTCTTTCATTTCTTTCATTCAGACATTCATACATTCATACATTCATACATTCATACATTCATACATTCATGCATCCATCCATTCATTCATTCATTCATCCATTCATCCATTCATCCATTCATCCATTCATCGATTCATCGATTCATCGATTCATCCATTCATCCATTCATCCATTCATCCATTCATCCATTCATCCATTCATCCATCCATCCATTCCTCCATTCCTTTATTCCTTCATTCCTTCATTCCTTCATTCCTTCATTCCTTCATTCCTTCATTCCTTCATTCCTTCATTCCTTCACTCCTTCATTCCTTCATTCATGCATTCCTTCATTCATTCATTCATGCATTCATGCATTCATGCATTCATGCATTCATGCATTCATGCATTCATGCATTCATGCATTCATGCATTCATGCATTCATGCATTCATGCATTCATGCATTCATGCATTCATTCATGCATTCATGCATTCATGCATTCATTCATGCATTCATTCATGCATTCATGCATTCATGCATTCATGCATTCATTCATTCATTCATTTATTCATTCATTTATTCATTCATTCATTCATTCATTCGATCATTCATTCGATCATTCACTCATTCATTTATTCATTCATTCATTCAAGCATTGCTGGGCCGGCTGTTTAGGCAAACCCTCTAAAATACCCATGCAAAAAACAACATTCAACCACGCATTCAATCATATCATATTATATCAGATCTTTTCATATCGTTTCATGTGAATCATATCATATCGTACCAGATCAGATCATACCACATCATTTTCAGTTCAATTCGATTCAGTTCAGTTCAGTTCAGTTCAGCTGACGCCAGTGCCATCCAATCAGCCAATCAATCAATCAGTCAACCAACCAACCAGTCAATCAATCAATCAGTCAATCAACCAATCAATCAATCAGTCAATCAATCAATCAATCAACCAATCAATCAATCAATCAATCAGTCAATCAGTCATCATGCCAATCATGTAAATCCTACCCACTATATCTTTCAATCAATCATTGTCAATCAATCACTAGTTCAGTTCTCCCTTCATTCCTTCGTTCATGCGCTCGCACGTTCGTTCGTTCGTTCGTTCGTTCATTCGTTCGTTCGTTCGTTCGTTCACAGTTCTTTCGTTCAGAAAAAATGCAGCGATGAGAGCAAAGAGCCATCAATGGCATTGAATGTGGATTCCTCTGGGCCATTTATTTCCTGTAGCGTATATGGTCTAGACTTGCGCCGCCGTGGCATGGCCGGGTACTGTACGGGTCGAATCAGCAGCGGTTGGAGGCGTTTTACTATCATCACCCATCGACAACAACTGTCCTGATTCTTCCCTGACAGGAGTCCTCCTTCTATTTGGCCCTCAAAAGTCCGTTATGCAAAGGTACTGCCGCTCGGAGCCAGCCCATGATGGTTTTCTTGGCAGATTCAAATTCTTGTTGTGTGTTTGCAGCAGAATGAAAATCACATTTGCAGCGTGTAAAGTGGGTTTGTCTCCATCGACTTGCGTCATGCCGTGCCATTGGGCGAATTGAGGCCATGGTCATTGATGAGCAGGTTATGCCCCTCCAGCGAATTTGGTGTTTGTTTGAGGTCTACCATACCATCCTGCTGTCGCAAAATGATAATTTTCAAGGTGGGGGGGTTTGCTCGACCCCATGGTCAATAGCAGCTATGATTTGAAAGCTTGCAGCAGTGTCTTCTTGGAGGACCACCCCTGGAATGGATATTGGTTAGCTTAGCAAATGGTACACCCCTGTTGAGAACGGATAAAAAAAGGACTCAGGGACGTACCGCCTTCTGCCGGACCCAATTGGAAACTCCAAGTTGGAAGGCCTTCTCCTTTGTGCATCCACCGGGGTCCTTCAAGAGGGCCGTGCCGGCACCGACGTGGCGGTGCGCGTGGCCCAACGGGCCCGTGACTTGGACACACGCAGTGCAGGAGCCTCCAACGAGCGGGACCTGCAGATGATCCATGTGCCTCAGCAATATATGAACATTTTTAGTTTTTGTTCTTGAATGCGTCGCGAGGGTATTGCTTTTTCCTGGTAGGGTTCTGAGTTCTTGGGGTGTAGCCTGGTTTGCGGCCGTGGCAGGGCTCACACGGCTTGCTGCAAGTCTCTGACCGCATTTCAAATTTGCTGTATGTGCCTGCAGTGTGCGAAGAAATCTATAGGTCGAGGTTTCCATGGCAAGCGAAATGCTTCAGATGTGTGCTGTCGCGTTGTTGTTGCGGACGATTTGCTCCTTGCGGGAAGATCGCGAATTTCGTGCGCGCAATACGATATTACTGTCGTCTTACGCACTAGGCGCCATGGTAGCGGCTGGCGAACATCACTACGGCATTGCGTGGAGCTTTTCGTGGATTGCGAAGGTCTGTCTGTGCCTATAGAGAATGTTGCACAAGGTGTGATTTTCAAGATGTTATGCCAGGCGAAGCGCGGTCAAAATCACGGGATATGACGTTGTTTTGTGTGTGCATCATATGAAGAGAGGCAGCCCTGTTCTTCTTGTGCGTACCCCCTTCCTTCGCTCTTCTTGTGTTGTTACATCTGCAAATCTGCAGGGGGTTGCTGGCAGCCCATCCTTGTCTCACTCCTGGCCGCGTTGAAGCTGCTGCTGGGGGGGCCTTTATTTCCATCGCTGCTGGCTGACATTGCCAGGGTTGTTGGCTGTGATTTAGGTCTTTATAAAAACTAAATGCTTCGAATTGTGTTGTTGTTGTTGTTGTTGTTGCTGGTGGTGGTGGTGGTGGTGGTGGCGGCGGGCGGCGGCGGGTGGCCGTGGCGTTGGCGGGTGGCGGTGGCGGTGGTGTTAATGGGTTGGTGGTGTTGGTGGTGGTTGGTGGTGGCGGCGTTAGTGGCGGTAGTGGCGTTAGTGGCGGCGGCGGTGGTGGTGTTGTTGCTGTTGCTGTTGCTGTTGCTGCCTTTTGCTGCCTTTTGCTGCTGTTGCTGCTGTTGCTGCTGTTGCTGCTGCTGCTGTTGCTGTTGCAGTCGCTGTTGCTGTTCCTGCTGTTGCTGCTGTTGTTGCTGTTGCTGCTGTTGCTGCCTTTTGCTGCTGTTGCTGCTGTTGCTGTTGCTGCTGTTGCTCCTGTTGCTGCTGTTGCTGCTGTTGCTGCTGTTGCTGCTGTTGCTGCTGCTGTTGCTGCTGTTGCTGTTGTTGTTAATGTTGTTGTTAATGTTGTTGTTGTTGTTGTTGTTGTTGCTGCTGTTGCTGCTGTTGCTGCTGTTGCTGCTGCTGCTGCTGCTGTTGCTGTTGCTGTTGCTGTTGCTGTTGTTGTTGTTGTTGTTGTTGTTGTTGTTGTTGTTGTTGTTGTTGTTGTTGTTGTTGTTGTTGTTGTTGTTGTTGTTGTTGTTGTTGTTGTTGCTGTTGCGGTTGTCGTTGTCGTTGTCGTTGTCGTCGTTGTTGTTGTTGTTGTTGTTGTGGTTGTTGTCTTGTTGTTGTCTTGTCATTGTCTCGTTGTCGTTGTTGTCTTGTTGTTGTCTTGTCATTGTCGTTGTTGCCGTTGTTGTCGTTGTTGTCGTTGTTGTGGTTGTTGTCTTGTTGTTGTCTTGTCATTGTCTTGTTGTCGTTGTTGTCTTGTTGTTGTCTTGTCATTGTCGTTGTTGTCGTTGTTGTCTTGTTGTTGTCTTGTCATTGTCGTTGTTGTCGTTGTTGTCGTTGTTGTCGTTGTCGTCGTCGTCATCGTCGTTGTCGTTGTCGTCATCGTCGTTGTCGTGGCGGTGGTTGTAGTTGTGGTTGTGGTTGTCATTGTGGTTGTGAATGTGGTTGTGGTTGGGGTCGTGGTTGTTGTTGTTGTTGTTGTTGTTGTTGTTGTCGTCGTCGTCGTCGTTGTTGTTGTTGGTGGTGGTGGTTGTGGTGGTGGTCGCGGCGGCGCTAGTGAGTGGTGTTAGTGGTATTAGAGGTGTTAGTGGTGTAGTGGTGTTGGGGGTGGTGGTGGTGGTGCTGCTGCTGCTGCTTCTTCTTCTTCTTCTTCCTTCTTCTTCTTCTTCTTCGTCTTGCCACCTTGCAACCTCAACATCCCATGTGGGAATCTTGTTCCCATCCAATCAAAATGTGTTGTTTCTTTGGTTTCGCCTGGCGGGAGCGGCAGCTGCGTGCTTTAGATGTGTGTTGTTGCGTTTTTTTGGTTAATGCAGAGATTCGGTTGGAAGGAGTCAGGAAGTGCAAATTCCGTAGAATGTGTAGTGTAGTGCGTCGTAAAAATCCGCCCGCACCGAAGGTGCTGGGGCGTGATCGTCCGGATGGCACTCGTAAAAGGTTACAGGTTTACCTGGGGGGGGGGCCATTTTTCGCCCAAAACCTCCTGTTTTTGATAGGTCGTGACGCTCGCCTTCAAAAAACACTGTAAAAAACAGTACGGAAGACACCTGTTCGTGAACGCGCCCGTCCAAAATCGGCAAGCGAAAAGTGAAAAACCCCCGTGTTTTTCAACTTTTTGACCTCAATTTTTTGGTTTGCAACATCTTTTTTTGCAGTTCCGCAGGTGGCCTGGCCCGGAGGCGGATTTTTGAGTTTTTGGACCCGTTTTCGGACTGGTTTTTACAGTGTTTTTCTGTTTTCTGCATGCTTGACGGCTAGCTTCAAAACTTTCAAAAACCTCGTAAATTACGCTGTTTTATGTTACGGTGTGAATGAAAACATCGTAAATACCAGTGTTTTTTGACGTTGGTTAAAAAAACACTGTAAATTACAGTGTTTTTGGCCACCTGACCCTCAAAAACCATGGTATTTGCAGTGGTTTCTGCTTCTCACCGCGCAAAAACACTGTAAATAACAGCAATTTCGCCGTTTTTTCATGTTTTTCGTTATTTTTTGAACTGCGTTGGTCCGCTATACACGGCTATCAAATTCTTCGCGTTTTTTTTTCCGACAATCAGTACTTTCGGATGTTTTTGGTCTCAACGGCCGACATCATTGGCAGTTACGATGCGGTGCGGGCGGTTGCCGTCGCGAAGCGACGTGAATAAGATTTTGGTAGTGTTTGGAACGTTTATATTTTGCATCGCGGGTGCCTTGCTTGTGGCACTCTGGGTTTCTGCTTTGGCGCGGCTTCGTGCAGAGCGTGGGCTGTGTCCCCAGGTTTATGGGGTACGGGTGAGACGCCCGAACACCATATCACCAGGTGCGGATGTTGTGGCGCACGCCTGGGCCCGAATGCCAGAAGGAATGCCAGACAGAATGTCAGAATAGATGCCAGAAAGAATGTCAGATAGAATGTCGGATACAATGCTGGAAAAAATATCAAAATAGATGCCAGAATATGCCAGATAGAATGGGAGAAAGAATGTCAGAATAGATGCCAGAAAGAATGTCAGAACGAATGCCAGACAGAATGTCAGACTAGATGCCAGATAGAATGCCAAATAGAATGTCAGAACTTATGTCAGATACAATGCTAGAAAGAATGTCAGGATGAATGCCGGATAGAAGTAATGTAATTTCAATGTAAAACGCGGCGCGGAGGGTGGAACAGGCCATGGTTGAATCCTTTAGATAGATGAATTTGTGCATCGTGGATTCCATGGTTTATTTTTCGAATTGTTTTTGACCGTGGCCGGGGCACGTCAACAGGGATGCTAGTTTCGCAGCTTTGTTGTCAAATGTTTTCTCTTATTTCCCTCCACGGGCACTTTCGTTACGCCATGTTACGCCTGGATCCTCCAAGTGATCCGCGTTCAAATTGGAAGGTTGGCTCAAAACGTAACGCCAGGGTGTTGAACTAAGTTGTTCTATGGTCGAAACAACATGTCTTCCGAAACCACGGTCATCTGAGAACAGCGCCGGTTGGGATGGTTGGGATGAGATACGAAGATGGCGAAAATTGATAGATTTGATTGCGCCAAGGCGTTGATTGAGGAGATGCCACGGGGCTTTGATGCCATGAACGACTTCGTGCGCGAGACGATTTTCCGTGCCCTGGAAGCTTCTCACGACCACTATGAGCAGACCTTCAGAGGCTGGGAAATTGACTAATATGATTCGTGATGACCGTGGGTACCAACCAGAAATATGCAACATGGTGATTTGGCTGCTGGTATTTGCTAGCTTTGATTGAGGAAGAAAACATGCAACTCCCAAACGTTGGGATGGAGCCAGGACAAGTTGGTAATGTTCGCGGAAGGGTCCTGCAGGAAAACCACAGAATCATGGAACCCAAAGAAGGATCTTCCCAGCATGCCCCTTTTTTTGAGTGCCGAAGAATCCAACTTTGTCTATCCAGGGTCCATTTGGGAAGAGAAAAAAGGCAATCATCTGATGAGATGTCACGGTTGTTGGTGAGTGGAAAAATGACCATGGGCAGTTTGAGTCTTCCTGATTTCACGCGGAAAATTATTTCGCAGTATCGGGCCACAATAAAATTTTTACGAACATTCTCTTTAGAACAATGAGCTGAACAACGCGTTGTCTGATCGGCACACTCGAATAGACTCAACAAATGAGGACCATGGTCATAGACTTCCACCATTTCTTTACTTTGCAGCCTGCATTTTTACTTCCAAGGGTTTGCCGTACCCTGCAAACTTCCGATTTAGAACCAATCCAAACCGAATTGTTGAGACATGCCATTTCTGCTGATGGATGTAGGCAATATGGGACCCCCTGCTAGCAAAATCACCCGCAGGCTTGATTGGCGACTTGACTTCACGTGTGGCAGCTGCAAGGGCGCCACTTCCAACGCTCCTCCCGCGTCAAACGATGCCTTCTTTGGGCCGAAATGCCGGTTTTGTTTCCCTCAAGGGTCAAGTAGACCCAACTGAGGACGTCTATCCGCTACCCTGAATCATGAACAAGATGAACGTCTGCAATTTTGAACAGCATGGTCTTGTATCTTCATATTTATCCCCAAGTTCCAGTAGGCGGGCTTGCACAGTCAGTTCATGGTTTTGGGCCAGAAATTCAGAGTCTCCATGAGGCTGAACCATTTTCCTCAGATCACATCAACAAGAATGTGCTGGCAATCTCTTTTTGATCCGTCGGAACTTTTTCGTCGGCACTGCACGTGGCTTGTGAATCCTTGAAGTCTTGTTGATTGGAAAACATAGTCCAGTTACAGCCTTCCAAATGACCATCGGGCCAGTTGCATCAGGGATTCCCTTCGTTTTCTGCAACTAAATTCATGGATCTCATCTGACCAGGTCCATGGTGAACATCACAAGATGTGCCGCTCCTCCTTTTTTCCGTTTGCCATGCAGATCCGCATTGGCGGTTCGGCTTGTGGGAAACTTGTAAATTCCCATAGATCTTCAGACCGCTGTAGAGCACCTTCCAGATGAAAAAGTCGCAAGACGTGCGCGCACGACTTTATTCCGCGGCAGATTTCTGTGTCGTCACCTGGCCAAGTTTGGAAGCACAGACGGCCTCAGACAGCACAGTATCACCATCATTCATCATAATTCTCGATTAAACGGTTTGTACGTTATGAATTTCCCCAAGTTGTGCCAAGGGGATTTGATTATGGTGCTTGGGTTGCTTGGGATGCAGGCAATACGGTGGCCGAGCAAGACAAGATGTTCCAGACTCGAATGTTTGGATGAAGTTCCTATCCAAGGCGCAACCGAAGGGCTGCGCAAATGAAGGGTAGATCTGGGCCGGTGTTTCCATATCTTGAGATTGTCCATAAAAGAGCGCCCAGTTAAGTCGCCAGCACAAAGACAGGTGACCCTCCCTCAACACAGAATCATATTCCGTTCAAGGCAAGTTTCTAACCAATACCATGGAGCACACCGCGACAGTATTTCCATTGATTTCTTGCACGCATTTAAATCAATGTTGTTGGATTTATTTTTGGCCCTTGCCCAAAGCTTGCCATGCCATCGTGGTAGGCTGACGATGACATCATTTGTTGCAGCATCAGCAAATGTCAACCCCGCTTGGTCGCAAACCCTGGTTGACAAAGTGGGACGTGGTCACCCACGAAACGTATCGGAACGTAACGACATGACGTTTGAAATCAAAAAACGGCCCTTGCCTCCTTGCGAATCTTGCGATTTGGGAGCAGAGATGATGTACCCGGTAAGACTTCCGCAAGGAGGTTGCAGTGTTAGTTATGCATCTTGGTTCATTTTGCAGTTGGTCTTGGCACATCAACACCATCAACTCACCCCCAGGCCAGCTCGGAAAATGCCGAGGTCCAACGGCCGGCTCCTTCCTGGTGCAAGGTTTGAGGCTCGGGCAATCCTCTTCACGTTCTTTTTTTTGTGCAATGTCCGAGCAAGGGGCCTATCGTAATTGAGACAGGGGGGTCTTCTTACTCGTTTGTTTCATTGTTTTTTCTGAATGCGCCGTTGTTTCAACCGTTGCATCTCAAAATGTGAAGTTGCTGATGGTTGCCTTGTGAAGAGTACATCTAAGTTTTCCTCACAGTTCAACATAATTAGCTACAGATCCTGAAAAGACATTCTCATCGCATGTCAAATGATGGTTTTGATGCTGTCCACTTCACATCATGACCTGGACTATGACCGGTTTACCCAGGCGACGCAAACGATGCTTGATGGTTGCCTCAGTTCAGATATGTTCAGATCTCAGATCTCCGACCGATTCGACTGGACCCCAGAAATCCCAGGGTTGGCCGCCAAAAGGACGAGAGTGAAGGCGACCTTTGCTTGAAGAGACAACATGTCCGCTAGATTGGACCATGTGTCTCATGATGGACGTCCGGAGCGTTCTTGTAGCTGGAGTTCAGCTACTATGCAGCCATTTTGGCCAGAAGTATCCATAAGTTAGTTCAGCCCCCCTGCGAAAATTGGATCCCACACTATGGCTCAGATGTATGTGGTGAAGAGGGACGGGAGCACAGAGGAGGTGAAGTTTGACACCATCACCCAGCGCTTGCGACCTCTTTGTGAGGGCTTAGATGCCAGCTACATTGATCCCGTGCCAGCCACATGTCTGCAGGGAGGGTCCCCATGACAGCCTACGGTTGGGTCCTACGGTTGGGTCCCATGGGGTCCCAATGGGGTACCTAGGTCACGCAGAAAGTCATTGAGGGATTTTATCCTGGAATCTCCACGGCCGAAGTGGACACTCTGGCGGCCGAAACCTGTGCCTTGAAGCCAAACAACGGGAAGCTGAACAGATGCGAAACAAAAACATGGCCGAAGCTTTCGGCTGGGTCTAGGTCAACAGTTGAGGTCTAGGGGGCTGGAGATTTTTTGGGTAGTATCCTTTTAATAGGCCAAGCATTGTTGGATTTGGTGCAACTGTCCTTGCGGCCAGACGCATGTGGTAGGGGTGGCCAGCTTTGTTGACAGACGTCGAGGGCATAGAGAGGTCTGCTTCTGCACGATGATGACGTGTTTGATTGCACATCAAAGCCATTAAATTTGCATGAAACATATGAAACTTTTTGGCACGCAATTCGCTTCAGGGGGGAAAAATGTTTTGCTGTTGATGTTCTCTCACCTGCACCCAGTGACACCCAGCGAGCATGGGATCAGTAGACCTCAGGTGCTTACATGAGCCAGAAGCATCCGGACTTTTCAATCCTGGCGGCCCGCATTGCGGTGTCCAATTTGCATAAGAACACCTCGGAGTCCTTCTTTGAGACTTGTAAGGTGTGCCTCACAGGGATCCACATTCAATGGATCAAAGATGATCAAAGTGGGTATTTTTAAAACTGTAACGCCTGTAACTATCGGATGAAATCAGAAATCAACCGTTTTTTTGAGGGTAACAGATGATGATGTACATAACTTTTATATACATAACTTTTATCAATTGAATATCACAAAGAGATCTTCATTTTTGGACATCACACAATTTAAATCATATAAAGCACTTTTTGGGGCAACCCTTCTTTTCCTTTTCCGTGTGCCAGGTCTTGCATGACTACACTGACGATCAGGGCAGACCTGCTGCTTTGTTGGCAGAAGATGTGTGGACCTTCATCCAGGTCAATGCCAATGCGCTGGACGAAGCCATGGACTACAGCAGGGATTTCGGTGTCCTGCCGTGAAAGATATAGGGAAGAACCAGGGTGGTGTAGCCATGACATCAGTGGGTTGGAGTTTTCTTATAGTCTACTGAGTCCTACTGAGAACACTGAGAATGAAACTATGGACTTTGGCCACCTGCTGGCCTTTGGGCCTCCTGTTGAACTCTCTGAGATGGCGATGGAGATTGATGTTGTGCCCTGCATGCGGCCTTACAAGATGAAAAATCCACCCAGGTCGTACACCGGCCTTGCATACATGCCATTGCGGCTACCGCAAGAGGTACTCTATGTTGGAGACTACAATTACAAGTAGGGGCACTTAGGGGTAATTACAGCAAACAGCAATCTCTAAATTCTTAAAATGGGAGTTGAACATCAAGTTTTGCTGGGCCACACCTACAGGATGAGGTGAGTCAGCTGAGAATCTTTACTGCCTTTCTCTTGAAAACGTCTGCGAAGCGGTGCTTGGTCGAATTGGGTCTCCTTTTTCCAGGCTATGACTACTTCGGCTTCAAAACCCTTGAGAAGTCCTACCTGCTTCGCGTGGGAAAGAAGGTCGTGGAGCGTCCCCAGCACATGCTGATGCGAGCTGCTTGTGGCATCCACTGCGGGGATTTGGTGGCGACTGTGGAAACCTATGACCTCATGTCCAGGACGGTTCCATGCTACGACTGAAACGGGGGTCCTTTCCACCAGCTCAATTGAAACATTATCCCGCACATGGCTAGTTTCGCAACCCTCCTATCATTACCATCATTACCAGCATCCTAGTGACAAGAATGCCCCAGAAGGTCGCATCATGTCGCATCACCAACACATTCAAACCACTGCTGATGTGGTCGACTGTTTCAGGAAGTTCTTCACGCACGCCAGTCCCACGCTTTTCAATGCTGGCACGCCAAATCCGCAGATGTCTTCCTGCTTCCTCCTGAAGTTGAAGGATGATAGCATCGAAGGCGTCTACGACACCCTAAAGCAGTCACTCAGATTCTTCGTTGAGTGCTGGGATTGTCAATCATTGATGGATGGAGTGGTGATGGATGTAGATGGATAAGGATGATTGAATCTGCTCGATTCCTTGATGCATGTTGCTAAGCTGATGGGGCTAGTGGATGCTGATGGCGTCTCCTTAGGTGTGCCCTCGTCTCCAAATCCGCAGGGGGCATTGGTTTGGCCATCTCCAATGCACGTGTGGCTTGGACGGTCGTTTCCACTTGCCTTGCTGGGGGAAATGTTCCCGACAAAAACTGGATCCCCCAAAATGGATCTTCTAAAATGTGGCCGGACCTTGTTGTTCCCAACTAGAATTCGATTCATGGAAGGAAAAGCTATTGGACCCTGGCATCGACAGTTGCATGCAGATAACAGTGGCTCAAATTGTACCAAAGCCTAGTGGCTTAGTGAATGATATTTCACGCAGATTACTCCCAAGTAATGGAAAAGATGCTACACAATGCTACACAAAGGCGTACCGTACAGATACATAGGCGCTGCGCCTTCTTTATCCTTTTTCCAAACTGCCATGTTGGCAGAAGTTTTACAAAACACTGGCGGGAGTGGGTTGCAACCAGGCCACAGGCTCCTATATTCGTGGCAACAACGGCCGCAGCAAGGGGCTGATTCCCATGTTACGGAACTTCAACGAGACGGCGCGCTATGTGGAGCAGGGGGGCGGCAAACGTTCCTTGGAGCAGCCCAGAGATTTCAATTTTTTTGGGGAAGATGTTCAGCTGGTTTTCAGCTGATTTTGATGCGAAAGTTGTTGGTGATCACCCCACGTTCCAGCAGTGAGTCGAGCTTTACTCGCTTCGAGATGGAATATACTGTAGACTTGTAGACTTTGGAACTCGACTACTCTGCCCTTTTTCGTTTTTTTTTTCTTCATTTTTTTCCATCCCCAGGTCCCCAGCCATAGGGCTATGCCATCGCGTGACATAGGAATCCAGTTTGCCCAGCCATAGGCAAGGGAGCCTTTGCCATGTATCTGGAGCCATGGCACCCGGACGTCTTTGACTTCATCGAGCTCCGAAAGAACCATGGCAAGGAGGAGCAACGAGCCAGGCCGCCTGGTGGCCTTGGTGGGTTTTAACGACACGTTGAAAAACCATGTTGAGTCGTTAAGGAAAACAATGGAACACATGTTTACTATGTTTACTGCTCTGAAAAAAATCGGGGGGATGGCGCTTGATGATCTTGATGCACTTGCCAAGTCGGCCATAGTTGGCCACAATCATCCTAGATTCCTAGATGATCCAGATGCAGAATGAACTGGCTGATGGAGACTCCTCACGTGGCGCCAGGGATCTGTTCCTGGGTCTTTGGATCCCTGATCTGTTCATGAAGCGAGTCAAGGTGGGGCTGCCGGCAGCGCGATCATCACACTGTATCCCATGCCATACTGGCCCAGAGCTAATTTCAATAGTGGCTCAACGGGTTTGCTTCACTTTCGCAGGTAGACCCAATAGGAAGAGATGGAACCCTCTGCACATGGCTGCCGTACAAACTGAGCTTCATGGCTCGTAAAGAATAAACATCAACACATCCCACAGCACAGCATCTCCGAAATGAGCTGCATTGCCTCATGCTGAGTGGGTCTGTTTCTGTTTAATCATCCAGGAGAATCAGGATTGGACTCTCTTCTGCCCCAACGAAGCCTATGACAACGACACGGGCAAGGGATTGATGGATCTCTGGGGCGAGGACTTTGAAAAGCTGTACACCAGGCTGGAAGCCGAAGGCATCGGTCGGAAAACGGTGAAGGCTCAACAGCTCTGGTTTCGAATCTTGGAGGCGGGGTGCGGATTTGATGCTGCCGTGCTGTGAAGAAAACGACTCAAGATTTGTGCCAAAAAACTCAGTGAAGTTCCAGTATCTGCAAGTAAGCACGCTCACAGAAGTCACATGTTTGATGTTTGATCCCACTTGCCGTGACATGCACCGGCAATGCGAGGCTCAAATGGAGACAGGGACTCCCTACATGCTCTACAAGGCCGGGCATAACATGTGGCATCCGTTTGGCCTTGTCAGCATTCGCTGTTGGGTTCCGCAGGATGCAGCCAATCGCAAGTCCAACCAGCAAAATCTGGGCACCATCCATTGCTCCAACTTGTGCACCGAGATCATCGAATATACCTCTCCAGACGAGGAGCCCCTGTTGGAAGTCGGGGATGTTGCAGATGTTGGTTTCGAACCTTTCAACAAACTGCCGCTGGATTTTCCCCCAGATCACAGTCAGCAAGATTCATGTCCCCCCGAATTACCCAAATAAGAAGTGGTGGTTGTGAGGTGTCCCGGTGTTCAATCACCATCTGTGCATCGTTTCAGGTGGCCGTGTGCAACCTAGCTTCGCTGGTTTCTTGGTGAACGGGGCAGTTGAAGGATCCCCATCCATGGGGAGAGGGGAACGACGAAAGAAGCTATCCTACCCGGTCCTACCCCTTGATCCCATATATCGTTTCCATTTTTCGGGCGCTGAACAAAGAGGTCGAAACGTTGATTCCTACCTCTTGATGGTGATTCTCCGTTTTTTTTTTTGGGTTTTGTAACTGACAACTGACTATAGTTAATATTAATACAATGCTTTTCATATATTTTCAAGGGGAACTCCTACAGTTTCTATGGCAAGATGGCACCACCCCGTGGCAGTGTAGGCCTTGTCCTCCTTCGCGAAAGCCGAGCGCTATGATTTTGAGCAGCTCTACGAGGTGACCAAAGTGGTGACACGCAACCTCAACAAGGCCAGGATTCTGCCAGCATAGATCCGCATGGCGATCCATGGTGATGCCCAGGTATCATATTTATGGCCGCTGATACCATTTTATACCTATATCATATCATATCATATCAATGGCCGCTGTGCCAGCCTTCGAACTTCCAAAACAGAACGGGGCAGTCGTTTAGGGACGGGAGGCGAGAGATGCTGAAGCCTTGTTTTGTCAGCGTGGTCTCTTGTTTTGTTGTCGGAGGTCCTATGATACCCTCTGGTAAACTAACATAGCTATTGAAAATGGCCATTTATAGTGAGTTTTCCCATTAAAAATGGTGATTTCCCATAGTTATGTTAGTTTACCAGAGGGTAATCTATGAGCATCCAGGTTTGCAGTTGGACACATCTCACCCTATGGACCATTGGATATCATGGATATCATGGGTGCTGTCACCTGCGGGGTACGGCAGGTCATTGACAGAAACTACTACCCGGTGGCAGCTCGGCACAGTGTGGCGCAGCATGGTGCAGATCTGGGCTCCGGTGTCATCCAGTCTTTGATTTATACTTCCTGTATGAAAGGTCCAATATAAAGATCCAATAATATGCTCATTATTTATCATTGTTTCATTATGTTTCATTCATTTTTTAGTTCTAGTTCTTTTTCTTTCAGCTCTTCATCCATTGCTGCAGTTTTCGGAACTCACCCGCCCATTTGAAGACTTAACCATGGTTTCTCCCCAGCTTCAGCTGTCATCACACCCCAGGAGGAGGCGCGGAGGAGCAACCTGAGGCATCGCCCAGTGGGCTTGGGGGTGCAGGGATTGGCCGATGCCTTTCTGATGATGAAGATGCCCTTTGAAAGCCCAGAAGCCAAGCAACTCAACGAGGAAACTGACGCAGCTGGAGAAGCGCTGATGTTTTGGAAACGTGTTCGTGTTCGTGTTGTGACCTGATGGTCCGAGTCTAGTTGATTGTTTGGATGTGGTTGATTGTTTTTTGGAGTTCACCTTTCTTGTTGATGTTCCACGTCCTCAATATCTTTCCAGGCAATCTGATCACTTGCCAGCTAAGAGTGATGAAGCGGCCCGAGTTCAACGAGTCCCAGCGGCATAAGTCAAGCCACGTCAAGTCATACAGGGTTTGCCCTAGAAAATAGGACTGGTTGACCTTCAAGGCTAGGGATTCAACCCTGAAATTTCGGTGGTTTTTCCAGGTGTTTTCCCAAGTGGATCGCCCGGGAGATTTGCCAAGTGGCTCCAGGAGATCTTCGAAACCATCTACTTCGCTGCGTGCGAGGCTTCCTGTGAACTGGCCGCTGCACAGGGGCCCTATGAGACCTATGAAGGCCATGGGGGCTTCGGGGGAACAGTATGGAATGGCGAACCACCCTTGTAATCCCTTGTAAACAGAAGAATTTGAGGGAACCATCGGAACTCCATGAACCAAATGTGAAGGGAACGGACTCCTTTTGTCCCGCTTGTTTGAAAGGGAGTGGTTGGTCTTGGTATGTTTTTGCATGTTTTTGCAATAAGTCTTGGGCTTCCCAAGTATGAGTGGTCCAGCGAGTGCAGATCTGTGGTATGGACTCGAGGTTCAACAGGCGCTAGCAAATTATTCCTACAACATTTGTTTTCAGTTGAAAGCCCAGGATTGAATGGGATTGTGGTTTCATGCGGTTTCGAATGCTTGTGATTTTCTAGTCTTATTCCAGACAATGTCCAAATTGACTGATGCTTTGATATTTCTCACTTGGAGTTCGGAAACCGCTAGCATTCGAATTATTACCATTCTAATTTTCTGATGCACGTTTGAATTTTACAGGCCCGGCAGTTGGTTGTCCCATTATATCCCATTATACTCCATATTAGTCCATATTGCATCTCCCATTAATATGTCCGATTAGCATGTCCCATTACATTCCCACCTTGTCATTGGTTACATGTGGTTGCCATAACATCAAGGGGCCCATCCCTGGCGCAAGGCAGTCCCGCCAGCCGAAACCTGCTGCAGTTCGACCTTTGGGAGCGAAAGCCGCGCAGTGGACGATGGGATTGGGCCGCCCTGAAGGTTCCGGGGCCGGGCCGGGGGTGGGGAGAGATGCAGCGTTCAATGGTTGGGGGTTGGTGGTTGGTGGTTGGTGAATATTTGGGAGTTGATGCTGATTTTCTGGGGGCTCGTGGCTTTTCTTAGCGGGATGCCGTTTTGATGGATCTTCCACCTCCTGAAGCTGGAAATCCGTGCAGGCGAAGATCGCCCAGTTCGGCTTGAGGAACTCCCTGTTGGTGGCACCGATGCCCACGGCCAGCACTGCACAGATCTTGGGGACCCTGGGGCGATGAATCTGATGGTAGTCACCTGTGGGTGTCGGGGGCCTTACTTATTATCCCACGCCCATGAAATCCTACATGGAAATATGAGAAAGAGAGGTGGCTGGACTGTGTTGAACCACATCAAGATGCCTAACTTTTGGAGATTTCGCAATTCACCTGCTGAATTCGAAGACTTATGGGGAGTTGATTGGGTGCGCCATCCCCAGTGGCTCCGGGTGGCGCTGGGGAACTGAGGAACAACGAGTCCTTTGAGCCCTACACCCAGAACTTGTACGTCAGACGGGTCCTGTCCGGAGAGTTTGTCCAGGTCACTTGGCCATCGATGATGCCTGAAGTTTCTGGAGATGGGAAACCTGGAGCAGCCATGGTGGGGAACCCCCCTGTTCCAACCATGACCATGTGCTAGATAGGCATTCTTTAGGCACACAACATGAAAGAACCGTTGATTTCTGGTGGTTTGGCGTTCCAGGAAATGGTGTGCGTGTGTGTACCCTGGATGGTTGGAAAGATTCTCCTGCTCACTGGTCGCTGTCAGATTTTTTCAGGTGAACCGGCACTTGCTGAAGGAGCCGGCTGAACATGTCCATGCATTGGTTGGGTCAAAAGGAATGGCGAGGAACCACTTCTATGCAACATCTTGTGGAACCCTTTTTGCCACCTTTTAGCATGCAAGGCCCCTAGCCCTTGAAAACCAACATGGATACCGAAAACATTTGGCTTTCATCTTGGATTCCAGGGGTGGAAGAATCTGCTCTTGTTAGACCAATCCCCATATTCTGCTGTTGGCGGCTATCTAAGGCCCCTAAGGTTATAGTTTCTGTGGCCAAGGGCTGGTTTCATGCCCATTCCCGCAGGATCTGATCTCGCGGGGCTTGTGGACTGATGAGCTGCGAGTGAAACTTATCGCGCAGAACGGCAGCGTGCAACGACTGGATCTGCCTGAGGATCTCAAGGAACTGTACAAAACAGCTGCTAGACCCGCCATTTCTTTGTGGGGGTGTGAGCAGTTTGAACTAGCTGATCTTGGAAAACCCAAGATGGGGGGCTGAACTTGCGTCACTTTTTTTTCTCCCGGCGGGTACCAGTAGGGTTCATTGATCCAGGACTAGCAAAAGTGAGGTTGAATCTGGTTTCACCAAGCGCGCAAAATTGCGGGGTTCAGATGGTTTGATGATACTTGATGTAAGGATTTTCCCAACCCAGAGGATTTTCCCACACACCCATTCTTGGAGTTGGTTATGGGCCTGAGGGCCTGGAGCCTTGCCCCAGGCCGGCAAAATCATGGGGATTTAGATGATTTAGGGGCTAAGACAAAGAAAAGCTGGGAGAAAAACACCTATTAGTCGTAGTAGTTATGTTATATGTAGTTATAGCCTATAGGTCCTTTAGGGATTTGATGGATCCATATGGATCCTGAGCCACTCAAGTCGAGGTTTGGGAGATCAAACAGCGGGTGGTGCTGGATATGGCAGCGGACCGGGGCGCCTACATTGATCAGTCACAGTCCTTGATGCTTGGCTGCATGAGGAAGGGAAGATCTACAGGAAGTACTTAGAGGAGGTCAAGACCATGGTTTGTTGCAGGTTTCCTTCACCACAAATTCATCGAGTTATATACCCTAGTGATTTTGTAATGGCTGGTTGTCTAGGAATATAGCATCGATTCACCCGCATGTCTCGTGTGGGGTTGGCGCAGTTAATGTGAACCATGCAACCTGTGGGGAAAGGAAAGCAGTTGGTTCAAGGGCCCAGAGCCTCCTGCAGACGTTGAATAAATGCAACAGGGGCAACTCACGCTCGTGCACATATCAGCAAGAGATAAAATACAATTTATCATAGCATTGACCTGAAAATTTTAACACACCTTTTACATTTATGCATATGCAAGTACGTCCCAATCACTCGCGTATCTAGAGATGAGTCGGCTTCAACATCCAGGAACATCCATATGGTGGATGCCAGCACGGCCAAGCTCTCGTCTATGCACTTCCATGGCTGGCAGTTGGGATTAAAGACAGGTTTCTTGGATCTGCTGAAGAGTTTTTTTTTGGGGGGGCTTTCCCATTGATACCTCTACCATTTGGGGATTTTCATGGCCCCCTTGGGCAAATCCAAGGTTTATACTACTTGAGGACCAAGGCAGCAGCAGATGCCATTAAATTCACCGTGGATGTGGAGACTTTGAAGAGAAGTTCAGTGAGTTCGGATTCTGACGGATCTCTTGAAAGCAGGCCTTGACCGGTGCGAAACCGGGGGGGATGCAAGGGGCTTGACCAGGGTCGAAGTCTGGATCTTTATCATTTTACGACCAAAGAGGAATGTCTACATCATGACCTTTACCTTCACAACAGAATTAAGGTCCAATTCTTCAAGATGGGAATTTTCAGATGCAGATGCCAAAAACTGCTGCCCTTTGTCAGGCCTGGTGTGCAAGACATTGAGAGGTCAGCCATCCACACCTTGAAGGCCGAAGGTCCAAAGTACACCTGTGAGACGTGCAGCTCTTAGAGACCGCTCCAGCTGTTGGGGCGAAGGCTGGGTGAATTGCAGCCCTTAATTCATCAGTTACCGTGCCAATTTAAGGTGCCGGGCCACTCGCCCGGCTTGAACATAGTAAACATCATCCGATAGTGTCGAAGCGCCCTCTACTGGGGTGTGCCAAAGTGGAGCACTTCGCTGATGCACTGATCGAAAGTTGCAGAACCCTAGAACCATTGGATAAGTGATAGCGGTGCGCCATTTTGGAGTGCCGCTGATGGCCACATTTTCGGCGATGTATAAGCTTTTAAACCTGGATTCTCGGCTTCTTCCTATGGGTGCGTGAACACCCCTTGTAGCCGCTGTGGTAGTGACTGGTGACTCAGTCTGGTCGTTCCTGGGGGTGCTGGTCATCAGAGGATGGCTTACAGCAAATTACCATACTGTCTGAAAGAGCACAGGCGTCACGATACGACGTGACAGACACGGGGGTGACTTGTCTCTGGGTGGAAAATTGGCATCTCTTGGAAGCCTTTTTGGGTTGGCATGGCAGATTGGAAGTTGCTGACATGCTGGTGGGCTGAACATCCTTGGGATCCATGGGTATGGGGTAAGGGGAGACCCTTCAGCCGCAAAATGGCCAGTCCAGGCAGCACATTCCAATTTCCCAAGATTTGCAGAGCATTTTGGATGTCGTCGGTTTTTGTTCTGAAGCGACCCTCCAACAATCAAGCGTGGCAATGCCTTTTTTGTTTTCCTATCAGCATGTAGGATTTCCATTGTAATCATCGAGGTTTGATTTCCAGAGGGTAGGTCCGGGTAGGTACTTCCTAAATAAACACGAAATGGAACATGCCTTTTGAAGGTGGGATGCCCATCATGCCCTTAAGTAATCAAACCCGGCAATGGGACATCCACAGTTCAACCGTTATTTCATGGTACAAAAACGACGTAACTTTGGCATTTTCACCACCAAGTTCGATTCGGGCAACTCCTGTCCCAAGAATTCCGGAGGCATGGCATGGGGCCAATGGGATTTGGCCTCATAACCTGTCCATGTTGGGTGCCTGGCAGTGCCCCAGTTTGCCAAGCCCATTCCGAATGTCACTGTCCAGGCCTTGGTCGGCCTGGGTCCATTTGATGCCTGCCTTGCGGTGCAAAAACGCGGCCTGGAACAGCCTTGTCCTGGTCTGGCGATGAAAGGGAAACAGACCATGGTTTGTCTCATGCATTTAGGCTCACCGTGGCTGAGATGTTTGCATAGCGGGAAGGCCCGCTGGACATGCTTAGCTGCCTGCATTCTTGTTGCTGATGCTTCTTTTTTGGGCTCAAGAACTTAAGCTGTATCATGTCATCCAGCAAGGGCTTTGCCACGGGCACCGCAAGATCACTTGAAGGGCTTTGCTGGTTGTAATATTCGTAAAACCGCATTCTTTTTGACATGCGACGGCCCTTTCATATTTGCTTGAGCAAAGTGGACATTTCTCTTCCGCAAATCTTAAATCGGGTTGGGCCCTGCACTTTTTGGGTGCCATCCAGATCCACTCCCCAGCAACAAAAAACACCCAGGCCCAACAGGAATGGCAACTCCGCAAAAGTTGGTTTGACATAGTTTGACATAGTTTGACAAGAGGTGGCCAGGAAATTTGAATGAGACCTTGACATACCCGAGAAACAGTAATAGTTGAATAACTGGCTTCCAGCAGTTCGCATTTTTGGGTTCCAACGCCATGGCCGAGACAAGTCTAGGACCGAACCGGCGAAAGCTTCTGGCGGAGGAGCTACGGAGGTTCGATTTTCCGCCCCTGCCCGAGAAACCAGGGTTGTGGGAGAAACTCTGTGCAGCCATTGAGAATGGTCCCAGGGGTCAGGAGGAGAAACTCTTCAAGGAGTTTCTGCAGTTGCATGAGCAGCGCTTTGAAGGACAGGCATGGACAGGCTACCATGGGCTGGTTTTAACCATGAAAAAAATATTCCCAACAACATCAGACCTTGAAGCATTTCCAAGCCAACCATCAAACTGGGTAAGGGTGAAACTTTGTACCCCACCTCTAAGGTTGGAGAACTTGCCCCCCCAACCATTAACTAACCAGTCTCAGACCATGTTTTTTTGTTTTTTTATGTTTTTTTTTTTGGGGGGGGGACGATCTATTGAAGCACTATGGGAATGAGTGCCATCTGCCCAGGACAGATGAGGCTCTGGCGCCTCGATGCCGATATTCGATGGGCGCGGCTGAAGAAATTGCAGCAGAAGCTGCAGGAAGCGGAGACAGAGCTTGGAGAGGCTGAGAAGAACATGGAGGAGCTGCTGGATATGATGATTATCTAAGCAACCCATAGTAATCCACCATTCCTTAGCACCATTCCCTTTTTTCCCCCTCTGTTTCCTTAGTTTGAAATATCATTGCAGTCGGGTCGGGTGAATCTGGATTTGGAATGATGCGGAGATTTTGTTTGATCTTTTCTTGGGGCTGGGATGGGATGGCTAGTGGGTGACGGCAGCAGCAAAATTGGATAGAATCATGGATCATGTGGCATGGCTGGTGGTTTCAAGTAGTCACCATGGGTTCCCAATCTTCCCAACATTTTCCATCATTTTCCTATCCCTTCCAGCCAGGAGCAGGACGCCTCAGCGGGCGCCCAACTGCTCAGCAGCATCTCCTTCGAAGACGCCGACGCCTTCTCTGAGGGCGTGGTGGAGGATCTGCGCGCCCAGCAGCCTCCAGGGCCTGGCGAGGATGTGAGCCCCGTGAGCCCCATGAGCCATGTCAGTTGGGAGTTGCTTCCGGGTGAACAACCGGAAGCCATGGCGGTGGCCAAAGCGACCCCTGGGGCCTCGAATCGGATGAGTCCGGTGAATGGGGGCCCCGATCCTCAGAAATTGAACTTGGAGGATTTCAAGCCGGTGAAGCCCTGGATAACGCGAGATCAGACCTGCAAAGGGCCGTATAAACTAGATGCTTCAAGAATCAAAAGCTGACTTTTGGCGGGACAGAAGAGCTATACAATTACACAGTTGCAATCAGTTATGCAGGTATATATAGAATCATTTTTCTCTTCGAGGCCTCTGTCCTGACCACCATTTAGTTGACTGATGCCATCGTTTGTCAAGTCAAAAAAACGCATTCATTTTGGATGTGTAGCTTACCAAGTGGGGTTTTGCTTGATGTTTAGGATCTGATTTCGGCTGGGGGTGTAGCCTACCAGATCTACCTATCTTCGAAACATGCAGGAACTCACCAACTGCTGCCACGGATTCGCCGGATTAATCCTGGATGGGGGTGATGATTTTGACCCATACCCAATCTAACTATCTATCTATCTAACTATCTATCTATCTATCTACCTATCTATCTATCTATCTATATATATAATATAATATATATATATATGTACACACACATATATACAAATATGCTCGCGTGTATCTATATATTTTTTAGATATGTCTATATAACATTACATCCTTTTTATGACACCAAAGATTTGTTGGTTCATAGTTCACAGTCCAAGTTTTGCTGTCAAGCTCGCTCGCAGTCTGCCAGGCGATCAAGGATTCAATGAAAGCCAGTTTTTCCAAGAGTATGTGGTAGGCTATGTTCTTTCGTCAAGCCAACCACCCAATAGTCAGCTATGTAGACTAGTATAACCGCCAGATAATCAAATAGAGACACTAGCAATTCAAGCAACAGATAATCCTCAGCTTTCTTGGTCTTTGCAATCCGTCAGCAATCTGATTGCCATCAGAAAAAACAATCCATGTAAACCGAAGAATGAGATATCAATCAGACCATTCCAGCAACACAGTTCAACACAGCCAAGCTTCAGCTGGCCTCATCATTCCTACCTATTCAAAATAGCGTCCATTTCTCTGGTGCGGTCATGGACTGCCTGCGCCCCTTGGTCTGTTGAACCGATATGTTTCTGAACCAAATTTTGGGGCATTGGGTCATATCAATCATCCTTCGCCAACTGTCCATACCACAATTCCCGTGGCATTGGCAGAAAACATCATGACACACGTCATAAAAAACGATAGTTTTTGTAGATTTTTCCATCCATTTTTTCACCCCCAAAAAGGTGGGCCACCACCGCCCCAGGTAGCTTTCAGGGCTCATGCCCTGCAGCTTCCGGCTCATTACCAGAGGCATCAGCACAGTGCGGAAGGGGCCCCATGAAAGGCTGGCAGACTGCGAGAGGTCCAACCAATGGCAGAGATCTGGACAATTGATTGGTTGATGTTGGTTGATGTTGGTTGATGTTGGTTGATGTTAGTTGGGATGGTTGGGGTCGAGAGATAGTTTTCCGGTCTTTTGTAAAGAATGAGACAGATGGCTTCCGGCGCTAAAAAGACGTATTTTTCCATGTGTTGTTTTTTGCCTACTTTTGGCACGAAACTACAAATCGGGGAAGGTACTTCTGGACTCATTTCCTCCCCCCAAATTGGAAAGGAACTCCATGCTCCGGCACACCAATGACACGTATTTGGGGATCGAACTGGTCGAAATCTCTGCATGTTTCTGTGTTCCTATTCTAGCTTTTCTAGAAAGCTAGAAAGCTGCGAGCATGCATATTTCAGTGCCAATTCTTGAATATTCTTGGGTGTGTCTTGGCAGGGGAGTGAATTGTGCAGTGGTAGTTGTTTCCTGGAATTTTTGGGCTCTTTTCACCTGTCCATCACCAGCTGCGCGATCAAACCACAAAGAACCAACCACGAAATCTTGAACATACAATCATATACAATCATATTATGCATTTAGGAGGTAACTTATATTCCTTTCACGTGCTAGTTATATTCGCATATCTAGCTTCTGTCACTTCTATCCATCCTCAGATTCCCCATGTGATTCCATGTGCCACTTGGGAATTTTCAAGCCAAGGAAGGCCCTCGACATTTTGGCCGACCTAGTGCTTTTGGGAGGCTTAGTCCGAAAGGGTCCCCGGGCTGATCTGCGCGCCTACAACATGACCCTGGGAGCCTGCGCGGGGCAACAGTGACTTGGCCATGGCCGCATTGCAACGAACGGGATGTTTGAAGGGTTGGAGCCTGAAGCCTCATTCTGTCCATGTTTTTTTTTCAAGTTTGTTTCCATGTCACATGCTGCTTTAAACTTGCACCGTGAGGTTATGGGAGACGACCCTTCAGCTCTTCCTCCGAATGACTTCCAGCAAAATGTCACCGGATTTGATCTCCCTCTCCGCCGTGGTGGATGCATGCGCGCGGGCCTCCAAGCAGAGACAGGCCGTGAAGTTCCAGCAGATCTGGTCTGATCGATGTCACCGGACGACGATGTTTGAACTTTTGAGGTTCACCAGGCGGCTACCCAACATGGAGAAGGATGAAAAGGTGCCAGCACCGCGTGGAAGTCGCTGGGCACATGGAACATTGGCATTTTTTTTTTTTGCATCCATTCTGTGAATCAGGCAACCCCTGGAAGTCTCTTTTGATTTCTGAGATTTCCTGTTTTTTAGGGCCCATGCCCATGACATCCCATGACCATGCCTTCGTTTTTTGGGATCCCTCAGGTTTCTTCAACATCGGATCTTTGGTGAACCGATCCCTTTGGGCAGAAGCTCTGAAGCTGAGCTGTGAATTGGTGGGCGGCCTCGGTTTTTTGGCAACGGTGAGTCTGAAGGGGCGTAATGGCGTAATGTGACATGTAAGCTATGTGGGTCATTGTAGATCCAAATGGGTCCCCCCAACGACCCAAGAGTAGAGCACTTTGGAAGTCGCAGGACATGATTTTCCCCCTTTCTTTAGCTTGGCAAATTGCGGTCACTTCATTTGAGGACTCTCTTTTGGAGGATCGCCCGCTGCGGTGAATTTGAGGCCTTTGGCATCCAGCAATTGTATGATCTGGGAGTTGTGGAAGGTCTCCGCAGTCCTGACATTCAATCCGGAAACAATCAATAGAATCTTCATAAGACTGAAACAGCAACAAAAGAAAAGAATGTGTTGATCATCATCTACCAATTTACCACTATTTTTTTGGGGGCTTACTTCAACATGTAGACAGGAAATCCCATGCTATGCCGGGGGGAAGGTCACGACAAAGCTGCTGAACATTGGCTTGGTCGCTTGTCAACGAGGTCATCGTTCTGCTGATGCCTTGTTGCTCTTGAAGAAATCTTCTAACCCTGAGCTCCTTGAAACTCAACTTGGCAGACGTTCATTCAGGGCTTGTGGATGCCGATGGCATTGACCAGTTGGTGCATTTTCCCATATGTTTCACAACATCCGGATGTCCAAAAATGAGAACGATTTATCGTCCAGACTCCGAACATCTCGGGAGGAAATGATCACCATGTCGCCCCCCAACAGCCCCAACATGTCCAATCATTGTCATTTTTCCAGCCACAATGCTTTCTCAACCAAAAAGCCTCCATTTCTCCCAGTGTGATTGAGTTTTTTAGAAAGGGTTCTTCCAAAAACTTCCCCCAAAAATGTCTTGACCAATCCCTCCGAAAAAATCCAGGTCCGATCTGCCGCAGCCTGACCTGGAGAGTTACTCCGTCACCATGCGCGCCCTGGGCGAAGCCGCCGCCCGACGCCACGGTAGCGAGGCCGAAGCCGAAGCCGAGGGCTGGCGGCAGGCGCTGCAGCTCCTGGAAGAACTGAGGGAGAGGCGGTTGAGCGCCACCACGCGGATGCTTGGAGGAAAACACCCCGGAAAACACGCGGATGCTGAGCTGCTAGCTTCATGGATGTTGTATGGATGGTTTGAATATTTTGAATGGGACACTCATCCATAAATGGAGGTTTTTATTGGACACATCATCTAAAATTGATGTTTCAATGGGAAAATCCGTGAGAATCATCTAGGAATGAGGGATTTTCCGATTGCCATTGTTTGATAATTGGATGGTTAACAGATTCAACCCAAGCATGTGGTAAACCCAATGCCATAAACCATCCTCAATAGAGGTTTTTATGAAATTGGGCATGCCTTTGTTTGGGATGATTTGCCATAGCCCTTACGCAGTTTTATTACTTGATATATCTGGGAGAGGAACTCTTACAGTAGTGATTTATGGGTTTCGTGAGACAACCAAAGCAACTATATGCCTGTGGCAAAACATATCCATACGGAAATTTCTCCGACATTTTTCTTTCAATCTTGCCAACAATTCGATGTTTCAGCAAGGAAGTGGTGGAAATCGGTCCTACATTAAAACGTACTGTCAATTCTTTGGTTCCATTTCAAGGAGGTGATTCTCAATGGGAGTATAGATGTTTCCAGGGCGTTGAAAGCACCAACCTATGACCCGCCTGGCTTCAGGACCTACAACAGCCTGGCCAGCGCCTGCTCACGCGGCCACGCATGGCTTGAAGCCTCCAAGCTGTTGTCTACAGCTGCGGATCAGGGACTTCCGTGGGATTTGTTCTCTTACAACATCGCCATCCAGGTGCAAAAGCAGCATGAAATCTATGCCATGCCGGAACGGAGGTGAACGGAGGTTTCCACCACCGGGTTGGGTCGATGAAGAACGCAAGGTGGTGGAGTGTGGTGTATTTATGCTTTATATATGTAATATATATATATATCTCTATCTGTGTGTGTGTACACTATTTTGCTCACTTTCAGAAGGTGAGCAAAATAATGCACAAAAGAAAACATCTTTTGAGGTGGGGGTTCACCACAAAAGACGAGGGTGAAACGATACATCTCCACATGCGTCCAAAAAAATGGCACCCCATTTCATCCCAGCTGCAGGGGTGCCATCGTTCGGCCGCTGGCCCCAAGCTGACGACCTTACTCCGCACCTCAGCCATGGGGTTGAGAGAGTACTTTCAAATCCAAATACTTGGTTTGGGACCACCAAAAAAAGAGGGCCAAATTCACCTGCAGTTGGTTGTTGGTTCAGCAGTTCAGCAGTTGTTTTTTTTTTTGGGTGTTGGTGGTGTGGCCCATTGACACATCCCATCCAGGGCAGATGGAGCACGACAAAGTCGAACCGAACGCCGTGACGTTCACCACAGCCATTGGAGCCTGCGAGCGATCACAGCGTTGGGAGCTGGCCCTAGACTTTTTCAGGCGATTGAAAGCGAGCCAGGACCTCGATTCCAAGGGGTGATGGTAACTTTGGACGGGTTCAAATGTGTTCTGATGTGAACAATCCAGAACAATGGGAAAAATTGGGATGACCAAATGTAACTAGGTAGGTGTTGCCAACAATGGAAAGACATACAAAACTAGGTGATTTCATCAACAATCGTAACGATACGCCGCAAAACTAGGATGGTGTAACTCATGCCAAATGTGGCAGGTGGTTTCAAACATTCCTGATTTCGACCCCAAAATGGAACCTTTTTCTGCGGATGATGACCACATGTGACGTTCATCCCATCGGGATGGGCGGCTGACCAGGATCACATTGGAGCCATCACCAGCAACGCGGTCATGGCAGCGTGTGCAGCTGGACATGCGTGGGGCGAATCCGTAAGGATTTTTTGGGACGCCTGGCCGGTTCAAGAAATTTCGGGCTTCAAGGGACAGTTTCTTGGAATTTTGTATGTGGATTGTTTCTAAAATTTGTTTCAAGAAACCTTATCAGAGGAACCGCCTTGTATTTGGATTTTAAGATCAGGGGTTTCCCGTCGATTTTCCGTTCACCCGATCCGAGAATCCGAGAATTGATCACTGATCTTGACCATGACATGTCACAAGAGTCGAATTTTGCTTGGAGGATGGTTTTTGATGGTTTTTGATCCTATTCAACTCCTTTGCTTTCAGAGCTTTAGAGGTGCTTTGGACAGGGTTTTTGGTTGTTCCGAGCACTTAGGACATGTTGCTGTCTGGAACGGCGGATGCGGCGAGCATGGCCAACGTCCTGAAAGCTTACAAAACGACCTCCCAGTGGCAAGAGGCTGGAGGCTTCCAGCATAATTTAACTTTTGAGAGGATATCATTATATGATATTATATGAACCCTTCCCATTTTCAATGCAACACATCAGACATCATCAGACATCATCAGACATCATCAGTATCCAAAAAAGTGTTTCAGTCCCATCTCTGCCTAAATCCAGGCGTGTTGGCACCTCTTTGAAGTGCCCAGTGCTTTTCAACTCGTGCCTTCGTGGCAGCACTGCGTCTCCGTGGCGGACGCCTGTAGCCTGGCGAGTCTCTGGCAACGAGCGCTGTCACTGCTATGGACCCCCCGGGCGCCGCTGGAGTACCGCTGCAGTGCTGCCATCAGCGCTTGCAAAAATGCCATCGTGGCAGGCGGCACTTGATGGCTTGAGTCGGTTTTGGTGATTTCATTCAGCCCAATCCACATCATGGCAGGGATTTCTTCATATTTCTTCCATTTTGTTCCCAAACTTGGGGACTTTTTATCACCCCCGAAACAGATTCGTCCATCAGCTTCAATCCAGAAATAGGCAACCAGAGCCCGCCACAAACCGAATCACTCCCCCAGAGTCTACTGGCTCAGGGCCACAAGATGCGGATGGCTTGTGGCAACATGCTGTGGCACTCTATGCTCAGCGGAAGCAACAGGACACGATCTCTGCAAAAGACCGAAGCAGCGAGTTATTTTTGGAATGCCAATATGAGTGATATTATATGAGATGATAGGAATACCAATAAGAGTAATGATACTACTGTAGTGATCATTTCTGGAATACATCCCCATAAAATCTCCGCCTGACATTGTAGGAAGGTGCTACTTCCAGTCTTGATGCAAACGATTTGGTCGGCACTGCCAGCGCATTGATCAGTGTCTTTGAGAAGATGGGTATGTGGGAGAGCGCTCTCCAGATTTTCTCAGAGATTCAAAGCCCCAACAGGGTGAACTATATCACCATTCTACTGGCACTGCTGGCAGGGGATGAAGCCCAGCTCGCCCGCAAGCTATACTTACAGAGCCCACTTCTTTCGCAAGCTCTGCGACCCTTGGAATCCTTGGAGACTTCGGGGATCGAAGATAAGGAACTGCCAGTGACCTTGGATCTGCATGAACTGCCAGTCGAAGTGGCGACTTTGGCGCTTGAAGTTCTACTCAAAGACCTGCAAGATCCAAGCTATCCAAGTGATCCAAGTGATCCAAGTGATCCAAACTCTGAAATCAGGAAGTCAGTACAGCTGCACATCATCACTGGCCATGCGCTTCACCGCTCTGCTCCGGGTGCCACCGGTGTCACGCCAAGGCGTGTGTGGCAGGCAGTGCTGAGCCTGCTGGAAACGTGGCCGGGAGTAGAGCTTCGAGAGCCCGGAGACAATCCCGGACTCGTGAGCTGCGTGCTCCGAGGCAAAGGTGGCACCCCTTTGGCCAAGTCTTGGGAAGAAACCTGATTTTAATCATTGTCATGTTGATGTTAATGGTTCAAAGGACATATATTATATTTTTTTGGGGCGTGCTTTCTACCTGAAATATTGTGGTGTGAAGGTTGCATTTGAAGGGTGTCATAGATGAAATTGGGTTTCGTTGGAAGTAAAGCATGGTTGGTGCTTTGTAGTTGCTGTGAATTGCATCCGTTCCTTCGTCTTGTGGGTTTGCCGTGCTGGGTCTATCTTGAACCCCAGCATTTGATATGGGTTGATGATCCCCACAAAATAGTCACCTAGTCATAGATGATAGTAGGGCGAGTAGAAAAAAATCAGATAGATGCGGCTAGTATTTCGTGTTCTTATATTATATATATAACTATTACATATTCATAAGATACGCATAATTTATACATGGCTCACATGTTCGCATACTAAGCATCCAGATCCCTGCCACGAAGCTCCAAGCGGAACACCGGGACCCCGGGACCCCGGTCCCGCCGCACCATGGACGCGCATGGCCCTGGAGCGGGAAAGCTTCACTGAGGACGGCTGACAGATTGGAGACGTGGCTGAAACAAAAACCACTGTTACCCTCTGGCTATTTAACATAGCCATGGAAAATCCCCAAAATAAATGGAGGTTTCTAGCTGGGAAAATCATCTATAAATGGGCCATCTATACCATGGCTATGTTAGTCATAACCAGAGGGTAATACCAGTCATTAACAGTCCCTTTGACGGCTTCGAGTTGAATTTGTTTGGGGAAAGCAGATCTGCATGCAGGAGGTGGCCAAGAGGCTCACGAACCACGTGGTGCTGGCGGATTTGCGGACAGGGAAACTGCCCAAAGACCAGGCAGATCTGCTGCTGAAGAGACTTGGATGGTGGTGATGGGCTGTATAGCCAAACGCCAGGGAAATTGATGGTATTTCCAGGGAAAAAATCCAAGTGCACTTCGATTTTCTCCGGCTTCTTCATGATCAGGGATGAACCACTGGCCTCATGACACCCCTTCCAGAAGCTGTAGCAGCTAGCATAACATTTATCAATTTTCACAGGGGTAAAAGCACAACTGCAGCCCCTGCTTTGCTTTTTCATGGCCGCGCTAAAGCGCGGCCAAAGGACCTTGCTGTTGGAGCAGTACTTTGTTTGCAACAGCGACCTGAGGCTGGGCGTTGTGAAAATTTGCATCTGACTCAGCAGCATGGAATGCGTCGCGAAGGACATTGAGGGCGAGCTGCGAGAAATTTGGGCACGTCCAGGGTTACAAGACCTTCTTGGAATTCTTCCGAGACGGTGAGGACCGGCATTGGGCTGATGGCCCTGTGGAAGATGTTGGGGCCCAATAAAAGGCCGTTGGGGTTTTCCAAGTGCCAATTTGACCGAATCATGAGTGAAATCATTTGAATCATGGGCTTCACTCAAGGAAATCAAGTGCCATCAAGTGCCCCAAGCATCAAGGCTCAAGTGTATTCAAGTGTGGGATATGATGTCCTTTGGAAATCTTTGGATCATTTGGAGCAGTGAATTTAAGGCTCGAATCCACCTGAGGCCTTTGCGCTGGGCGAACATCAAAAGATGTGTCAACTACTGGGCCTCTCAGATGAGCAGCTGGAAGCACACGTGCCGCATCACAAGTGTCAGGCGCGGCCCAGTTGCGCGCCGTTGGGTGCCGGCTGACACCTCGCATCAGAAAAATCAGACATGGGTGGAACATGGTGGAAGCATCCATTTCAGGAGTTGAAGCAGTTTGATTTTGTGTTTTTTCAAGATTATCCGGTTGTTACTCACTTTTCCCCCTTGCGATGCCTTCAAGTTGGTGTTCTGGAGCGATGACTCGTCCAAGATGTGCAAGCATAGTTACCCTCTGGTATTTTAACATAGCTATAGAAAATCACAATTTTTAATAGGTAAACCATCTATAAATGGGCCATTTTCCATAGCTATGTTAGTTTACCACATGGTACCATAGTTGATGATGATGGTGCCAGCATTGCTAGGCATATCCCAGCTACTTCAGCAGCATTCTGCTTCATCATAGTCCGGTGGTGGCGGCCGCTGCCTTTGTTGTGAACTTCCCTGCCTGGGGGCAGATGTGTGGCATCCTGAGGGATAGCTTGCTGGTACACTACGACTATCAAATGGAGGATCCATTTCTGCATAGGAAGATGGGGTCACGGGGGGATCAGGCAAATTTGGGGAAAAACTGGGGTTAAAAATGATGCAAACTAAGCATCTTCATTCAAGATTGGCACGTGCATGCTATGGATATCTAGGGAATGGCCCCTACCTTGGGTAATTATTCCAGGGGGGGCATGTCACATCAGGAATAATTGATTTGGAATAAATAGTTTTCGGATCAATTATTAATTATTCTGCTAAGGGGGTCTATTCTATCCCAAGATGTTGTATGGAATAATTTGTGTCAACATACTTCAGAACAATTAGCCATTGATGGGCATATAAACTCGGATGATAAGTTATGATAGATTTTGAACCATCACTTGAAAAATAGATGACAATATATGACAATAGATGAACGGTGATGACATGTGCATACATGTGCTGTTATGATCTGTTATGTGCTGTTACATGGAGAGGGGGGGGTTGCCCTAAATTTACCCCAATTATTCCCGATGTCGTGTGACATACTGGAATGTTTTCCCAGAATATGTGCAATGGGGCTGGAATAATATCCAATTATTCCAAGGTATGCTGGCAGGGGGGGGGGCTATGGCAGGGACCATTCTAGGGATAGTATGGATAATTAGGTATGGACTGGTAATAGTCGGCGCTGGGCACGCCACAACATGGATCGTTTTCTGCTGCGAGGACTTGGGTTTTCTGGACTTCTTCGCTACGCCCATCCCAAACCTGAGAGAACTCGTGGACAGCTGGAGATTTGCCAACGGGTACCGTTTTCATTAGGTAGGTGCATCACAACCCTGCCATGACCCTGTTGAGTTTGTGTTGGGGACTTCCAAGAAAAAGTGTTTGAGGATTTATCTTCCATACACTATTCAAAAGCTGAGGTTTTTAATCATGTTTCACGTTCCAATGCGTTCCAATTTCAATTTCGGGGTGTTTCTGGTGAATGTTTCCAGTGTCTGTCGCTGGCAAGGACGAAGTTTTTGCGACCGAGGGCCAGAAAGTGAGCTACGTGCAACTGAGACGCTCCGTAAGGCTCTTGCAGGCGTAGCGGGAAATGGGGATCCCTAGTTTTCCATGAACCATTCGATTTGGGAAAATGATGATGAACCACTGTAATTTGGCCATGGTGCCATATCAGACAAACCCAAATGAAACACCAGTTCCAATTTGTGTTTCAAGTGGGTCAGAGTTCTGAAGATTTGAGGCAGACTTTCTCTTGCAGCGTTGCGTGGCCCCACTTCCTTTGACGTGGGCTGACCTCTCCCCATAGCGAAATGATCCTTAAATCCGAAGTGCCGAAAAATTGCAGGGTGCCAGGGGTGTAGTGGCGTAATCTCTGTCAGGAGTACGAGCTCCTCTTTTGGGACGGCATTTGGGAACAAGTGCAGACGCCTGGAAGCGAGTTTTTGGGATGGCATTTGCCAAATTTTACCAAACAAAGCAGTTGCTTTGGAAATATTCACAAGGCGCATCAAGGCACAGTTGTACAGCAGCCTTGTGGTCATGGTCTTTGCTGAAGTGTTGAATGTTTTTAAGTCAGCACCAGCAGAATAGCTAAAGGCTCTCAAGCTTACCCCTGAGGGGAACTTGAGGACATCCTCCTCCCAGACAGGGGAAGTGCACAGCTTGCTGAAAATGTCAGCTGTGAATCTCAAAGTGGGTGCTGCTGGCGTAGTCCTAGGTGCCAGGGCTTAGCAGCATGCGATATCTTGCGATATCTTGCGACCTCCACGTGAAACGCGTCAGTTCTTTTTTCGGAATCCAGTTCTCCTCAAGTTTCCTTGCCGTTGAACATCGTTGAACTACAAGTATTCCGTATTCCATCCAAAACATCTAGAGCTTAGTGACTTGAGACGTCCAAGTTCTTCCCAGGGGTCAAAGGTCCGCATCGCCGTTTTTTTTTTGCCTCAGAAACTCAGATCAGCCATGGCTGAGATTCCATCCATCAGCCACACGTTGGTCAGAACACAGCTATACTTCTGTGGGGTGCTCTGCGTTCTCACCATCCTTTGGTGCACTTATCGGGAGCTCTACAAGAGAAAACTGCAACGGGAAGGCGCGGGGAAGTTTTCATGGGCGCTTTTTTTGTCCCCCATGTTTTGGAGGGGAGAATTGTCCCAACTTTGGTCCCACATACCAAGTCTGGTTGGTGTTGGAACATTTTTTTTATTTTTTCATCTGTTGGGATGATGATCCAATCTGACTAATATTTTTCAGGGGGGTTGAAACCACCAACCAGCCAATTTTACTTCTCCTTTTTTGATGCTGGAGCACCATTTCGTGTGCAGGCAAGATTCCTTGTGCAGACTTGGTATGCAATCATCCAGATGACACTACTCGACGACTGGTCCAGTATGGTTATACCACTTCCTGGCTCGGCTTTGCAATCATTCACTGCTGGACAGCTACATTGGTGGGGTTGTGCCGGGTTGGTGATCGTTTTTCATATTTTCCCCAACAAATCCCTCCGAAAAATCGGAGAATCCATGGATTTTATATGATTTTATCCATTTGTATCCCAAGGTGGTGAGTTACATTCTTGCGATGTGGGGCTGTTGGATGTCCTACGTGATCTTCGACGGTCTCTACTTTCCACCTTCCGCAGCTTTCTGGCAGGATGTCTTCCAAAGCTGGGATGGTGACTGGATGCAATTTTTTTTTCAGCATTTTCCTTCTCATCCGATTGATAAATATCTGATACTATCTTATACTGACATAAACATATTAGTATATATGTATATAGATATATTGTATATAATTGCATGAAGTTGATCCTTTAAAACATAATATATATATATATATATTATATATATATATCCATTTGTCAATATTTGCCATCGGAATTCCCGCTGACTTCCATCCATTGACATCACCAGTATCGCCAGGTGTGATGTACCCCTGGTGCGTGTGTTTCGTCCTGAGTCACCTCTGCCTGGTGGGTGTCCTAATCTTTTGGGACGCCATGCGATCTCAAAGCATGCTGCCGGCGACCTCTATGGCTCAGGCGAGTCACCTGATGGTGCAAGAAACCTGGATCGTGCATTAAAAAGTCCTGATGTTTATTGAAAACAGCATGTCTTACCACTGGTGAAAAAAACGGATGTAGGGAATCGAAATTTGACTGGCTTTCTGATATTTTGATGGCCCCTTTTTTAGCATCTCAAAACATAAAAAAGGAAACTCTGGACTTGGAAGATGCAGCCGGTGCCAATGTTGAAAAAGATGGTCCAGCTCCTGGGCTCTTTCGGGGCTGCTCGCTCTTGGCGGAGTACTTGCAGCAACTTCGTGCAAGGCAGATCTTGCCCATCCACAAGTGCAAGGGCAAGCTGTATGTGGAACACATGTGTGTTCGAGCCTCGCAATATTCATTCCTATTTTTTGAGGCCAGGTTTAGGGGTAAGTAGTCTCAGTCATCCACTCTTCTGGTCTTTCTTCCAATTTGGCAGTGTTTCACCGGATTTCCCAGAAACAAAAAGGGGTTCCGAGTTGGTCCGAAATCGGGACTGAAGTCATATCCATACATATCGAAAACACATAGTATAATAGGTACTCACATGATGCAGATTCATATGCAGAAAAATATTCAGATGATCCTTTTTCATATTACATGTATTATCTATATCAATATATAAATGCTTGCATATATATATATATATTTACATCTCTCTCTCTCTCTCTCTCGTATCATATATATATACAGAGACAGAGAGATATTTCAGACCTACCCATATTAGAATACACATCCGTGTGAGCGTGCTTGCCTTGAGGATACATCTACAGTGAGAAGACCCGATCTTTCGTCATCCCGAGCCAGCCTCCGGCGAGCTCAACGAAGATGCACGCACTCCTGCGATCGGGAGGTCGGGGTCGGTGATCAGAGAGAGAGAGAGAGAGAGAGATAGATAGATAGATAGATAAATAGATAGATAGATAGATAGATAGATAAATAGATAGATAGATAGATAGATAGATAGATAGATAGATACATAGACCTATATATATCGCCTTACCCAAGGGTCAGGATGATGTGCGGCCAATTGCAGTTGGTGAAACTTTGCGGCGCTTGGTTGCCAAGTGCCTCTGCTCCCATGTCAAATCCGAAGCCTGTGAGTGGCTTTCACCCCTGCAGGTTGGTGTGGCTGTTCCCCTGGGTGCTGAAGCGGCCGTGCATTCATCCCGGCACTGGGTCCATGCGCACCGCAACAATCCCGACAAGGTTTTCCTCAAGCTGGACTTCGTGAACGCTTTCAACACCGTTGATCGGGCAACTGTTTTGCGGGAGGTGCGGCTGCGCCTTCCCGCCATGGCCCCTTGGGCAGAGTGGTGCTACAGCCATCACACCAAGCTTCTCTTTCAAGGTGAAGCCTTGACATCCGAAGCAGGGGTGCAGCAGGGAGACCCTTTGGGGCCACTCCTTTTCGCCTTGGCTCTTCAACCCTCCCTGTGTGCTGCTGGCCGGTCGCAACTGGACCTTTGCTTCGCCTACTTGGATGATGTCTGCTTAGCCGGCGACTACACCGCCGTCAGCGCAGCTTTAGGCCGTCTCGTGAATGCTGCCCGCCAGGTCGGGCTCCACCTGAACGTGGGCAAGTGTGAGCTCACCACGCTCGGGGGTCCCAACACGAACTTGGACAGCAGCCTTTTCCCCCCTGGCTTGCGCATCAACCATTCCGGGGAGTTCGTTCTGCTTGGCTCTGCCCTCGGCAGCCCCAGCTTTTGCCACCAGCACACCAAGCAGCGTGCGATGCAAACGGAACCTCTCCTTCAAGCTCTGGGCCAGCTGCCCGACAGCCAGACAGCCCTCATGCTGCTCCGTCATTGCGCCTCCTGGTCAAAGCTTGTATACTCCAGTCGGGTCACCCCACCCCCGTTCCATCAGGATGCATTGAAGTCGTACGACCTGGCAGTTCTTCAATGCTTGGAATCTTGTTGCACGGGAGCACTTACGCCGGGGGCATGCCTCCAGGCCACCTTGTCCACCAAGTCTGGCGGCCTTGGCCTTCGCAGCATTTTCCGTCACAGTGGAGCTGCCTATACGGCTTCTGTTCTGGCCACTTCTCCAATTTGCTCCTTGCTGCTGCCAACCTACAACCCCAGCACGGACGCCATCATTGCCAACCTCAACGAGTCGCTGCTCGCTGCCGACCATGTTGCTCTCCCACCGCCGCATTCCCTTCGACAACAAGATTTGTCTCGGGCAGTGGATAGAAGCACGGCCGCCCAGCTTGCCTCGGCCTTCTCTGGGCCCGGCCATGAAGCTTTTAGAGCGCATCTCCAACTTCTTCAAGAACCTGGAGCAGGTGCTTGGCTGCAGGCCCTGCCAAGTGCTGCCCTTGGCCTCCATGTTGACAGCGTCCTCTTCCGCGTCATGGTTCGCCTTCGTCTTCGCCTTCCTCTCCATTCTGAAGATGTGCCTTGCCGTTTTTGTGACGGGGTGTGTGATACCTACGGAGACCACTCTCGGGCCTGCCCTTGTGGTGGCGACAGGACGAAGCGGCACAATCGTCTCCGCACCATCGTCGCGACCTGGGCATCAGCGGCTGGCCTCCACCCTGAACTTGAAAAACCCGGGTTGCTCCCGCCCAGGCTTGAACATGGTGGGGCCTCAGAAGATGGCGTGCGGCAAGGGCCTGGTCGACGCCCAGCAGATGTTTACGTCCCGCACTGGGGCCTTCATGGTGCAGCGGCTTTCGACCTGGCAGTCACGTCGGGGCTGCGCGTCGGGGCGGTCGCTGGCTCTGCTCAAGATGGCAGCCGGTCGGCGGCAGACTACGAAGCTCGCAAGCGTTCCCACCACAACACCGAAGCCACGTGCACCGCTGAAGGGTTGCAGTTTGTCCCTCTTGTCGCTGAAGCATGCGCTGGCGGTTGGGCACCTGCAGCCACTTCGACTTGGAAACTCCTCGCGCGTGCCGTCGCTGGTCGCACTGGTGAGTCTGTCTCCGTTTTGACGGAGCGGCTGCAACAAACCCTGGCTTTGACTTTGCAGCGGGAGAACGCTCGAGCGGTCCTTCGAAGAGCTGGAGACGCCATTTCTCCAACAGTTTCTTTGGAATCGCCTTAGCCTGCCTTAGCCTCCGCCCCATTTGCTGAATGCTCCCTGCACTTTCACTTCCTCCACAACCCGCTGAGCTGAGCCCCTGGTGCCTTTTCTTGCTCCCCTTTGATTCACGAAGTGAATCTCGCTGAAGGGCGATGTTGGGGCTAATGAGCCGCCTGTTTGCATTCCTGGCACATGTTCAGGCAGTGCAGCCAGTTGCCGGCCCTTTTTTTGCTCGCTGGCGTTTGGCTAGCCAGGGTGACACCAGCCCGTGTCTCCTTGTTTTTAGGGCCACCCTGCTGTTTTTTCCAGCCAAGCTATATATATGTGGCCCTAATGTATCCTGATGTGAATCACATCAGTGTTTACGCAACTTTCTCACCATAGGATATTTCCAATTATATGCAAATACATATTACTTGACCATTTCCGAGTATATATATACATATTCTATAGATGAATTGATGGACAAATATGATCAAGTCTTATGGTTTTGTTTGGCTGGGTACTGGCAAGGATACCTCTTGAGCGGCCCCGAAATCAAGTGATTTGCTAACATCATGGAGGTTGCTCCAACCCATTCATTGTAGGCCAAATTATGGCCAGGGAGGTTTACATCTCAAACGTATCGGGGGGTGGAGCCAACCCTGACCACGTAGTGTTTGGATTGCCCTTCCAGAGGTGATCCCAGGGTCTTCCTTTCCCCCAGGTCTGACCACTCAGCAAGTCTTGGAGCGAAGGGAAGAAAGTGGGCAGAATGCGATTCACGTGCGCGTGCCCGGGCGGTTGGAGTCCCTGGTGACCGAGTTTTCCAACTTCTACTATGTCTCTTGGCAATCCCCTTATCACGTTTAAGTCTGCTTAGGCAACCTAGGTCCATCATGAGCCTGTGTTTCTTGGCCGATTTTTGTGGATGTACCATCCACAAACTGACAGGTTGTCCCTGGCAATCAGTCCTAGTCTCCCTGCGCTTAGGGGAACTTAAAACTAACCACTGCCTGGTAGGTGGATTTAGGTGGTTCAATATTTTTCAGACATCTGTTCATACATGATCGATTTTGGCTATGTTGCTGCCCAGATTTTGTGGAGCCAAGGGGCTGCTCAGTAGTTGACCATTTTTTCCTTGTTCATGTAGATGTCCATCCGAGCAAAAGAGATGACGACCCGCATTGGCCAGCAGTTTCTTGGGTAGATGTCAACCACACGTTCCTAGAATTATAGTGAGGAAAAAGACAACCCCCCCCCAAAAAAAAGAACAGGGGAGTGCCCTACTTTGGGAAAAGTATTCTCTTCATTGGCAAAACCATTACACACAATCAATTTCTTCAATGCTGTTTGCACATTGCTCTTCTGCTTTGGCATCCAACTCAGTATACAACACCAAAAAATACAACAAAAAAAGCAAAACACACAAACAAAACAAGTCAATTGGAGGTCCATGATTGGTTGAGACATAGGGTTAGTTTAGTTTAGTTTTGTTTCTTGTGTTTTTTGGTTTCCTTTTATTCCTGTAACAACTTTAGACAGAAGTTGCCAATTTCCATTGGTTTGCTTACTTTCTGTATCCGATCAATGTCCACACACCACACATGAAAACCAAGAAAACATGGAAAAAAACTGAACAACATTCGTCCCAGCCACTCATGGACCCCCCCGACTTGTTTTTTTAGTTTCCCTGGGGGTTTTTAAGCAACTTCTGCCCACATTTCCCAATTACTTTACTTCGTGTGATCCCCACCATGACATTTATACATTTTCTTACTGGCAAATCTTCTGGCATTCTATCTGACATATCTTCTGACATTCTATTTGACATTCTATCTGGCATATCTTCTGGCATATGATCTGGCATATCTTCTGGCATATCTTCTGGCATTCTATCTGGCAAATCTTCTGGCATTCTATCTGGCATATCTTCTGGCACTCTATCTGACATATCTTCTGGCATTCTATCTGGCATATCTTCTGGCATATATTCTGACATATCTTCTGGCATTCTATCTGACATATCTTCTGGCATATATTCTGACATATCTTCTGGCATATCTTCTGGCATATCTTCTGGCATATCTTCTGACATATCTTCTGGCATCTGGCATTCTCTTCTGGCATTCTATCTGGCATTCTATCTGGCATATCTTCTGGCATATCTATCTGGCATTCTATCTGGCGTATCTTCTGGCATATATCTGGCATTCTTCTTTCTGACATTCTTTCTACATTCTTTCTAACTTTCTTCTGCACATTCTTTGTCCCATATCTTCCTACATGAGGTCCGGCAGGGAACAGGGAAACACTTGGCGTGGATACTCGCGGTTGAGGTCCGGCAGGGAACACTGGGCGTGGATGGTCGTGGTTGAGGTCCGGCAGGGAACACTGGGCGAGGATGGTCGTGGTTGAGGTCCGGCAGGGAACATTGGGCGTGGATGGTCGTGGTTGAGGTCCGGCAGGGAACACTGGGCGTGGATGGTCGTGGTTGAGGTCCGGCAGAGAACACTGTGGATCGCGGGTCGCAGTTGAGCAAGGACGACGAGGACGACGAGGACGACGAGGACGACGAGGAGGACGAGGAGGAGGAGGAGAGGAGGACGAGGCAGGAGGAGGCGGAGGAGGAGGAGGAGAAGGAGGAGGAGGCAACTGACATAAAATCTAACAACCCTCACCTGGCAGGTGGGGAAAAACCAATGGAAAAAACAAACCAATGGAGGTCCATGAGTGGTTGTCCCATGTCTACTCAGTCACATCTCATGGATATCATCCTGGTTTGGGCACCCTCCCAGAAAGTTACTTGAAACCATGGGAGGAAATACACCACAGCCAAGGCTTTAGGATAGAATCAGCAAACAAGTTTCAGCATGGCTTTGAAGTTTGTTTTCAAATCAAAATCCTCCAATACATGCCTTGTGCAGCAAGATTTTTTTTTGCCCAAAATATGACATTCCTTGCATAAAGTCACATCATTCCCTGCATAAAGTGGTATCATAAATGATTATGGTCTTCCTTAAAGAAAGTGTTGGTGCAAGTCTGTGCAAAGCTTCCTTGGTAAGGCTGCGAACCAATTGATTGAAAAACATGCAATAATACAAAGAAACATTTTTGTGAAGTGGAAGTGTATTTATAAAATATTTTTGGGAAGAGGCATGATTAGATTGCATGTATGCAATATGTCCTTCCATATGAGTGAAATAACTGAACAAAACAAATATCATTTTATAAGAAGTGACATGTTTCCTTGGAAAGCAACTTTAATGCCGAAAAATGAGGGTGAGGCTTAACTTCATGAGGGATGTATTGCGTTTGTTCACATATGGTATGCCTGCAAGAATATTGCTTTTGATTTCAGGAATTATCTGGTCTTCAAGGCAAAAGTGAAGTCTCTCTGTTAAAAGCACATGCCACGCATAAAAAAAGGATAATGAGGCTTAATCTCATTAAAGGATGTATTGCATTTTTCCACACATTATAGTTTTCTTGCAAGAATATTGCTTCTTATTTGGAGGAATATAAGGTAAATTGCAACCTGTAAGCAGCATTTTCCTTCTTCAGTGATTTTTCTTGTTTCAAGAAATTCTACAATGTGCATCGACCACTGCACCTTTTGACAGTAATACTGAATGTCAATCACGCACTGCATATTGTGTAGGAATCTGATGTTTTGAAAGACATACTGCATGATTGAAGGCAGGCTTAATATTACGATGAAAGGAAGACTGCACTTCTACAGAAAGGAGCGCTGCTTTACAGGACTGCTTTATATTTTGCAGGGATACTCTTTCTTGGAAGAAGTAATGCATTGCCTTGAAGGAAAATTGCAGCTTATGAATGAAAGGTCTATTCTGAATGAAGGCATAGCTTTTGCCAAGGGAACACTGCATAGTGTAGGTCCAACCATCAAATCCAGTCCATGAAGTCATCAAATCACCTCAGGTCTTCAATTCCGTGGCCTTCCTGACCTATATCGCCTTCACCACTTGGAACATTGGCATCTTGTGGTTCCTGATGACCCTGGGTGCGGGCGTCTACAAGGGCCTGGTGGTGACCCGCCCCAACCAGAAACGCGTCGCGGAGCTGGCGAAGGTCAGGCAGCGCTGCCTGGTGCTGCGGGAGGGCGCCTGGATAGACGAGGAGTCCTCGGACATCGTGGCTGGGTTTTTTGGGCACCTGGTGCTGGTGGTTTCTGACCCTGCAAAACTTGAAGCGTTCAGACTGGGGCAAGAAGGAGCATTTTTTGGAGGGCAAAACATGGGACATTCCTTTGTTTTAAATCATATAAATTGTATATGTGTATATGTATATATATATATATGTTTGAATTTATATTTAAATATCATGATCTGGATCTCAATGTGAGATTTTTCATTTTGCCAGATGAGACTGCGGGAGGGTTTTTGTTTCGCATCCTACGTGGGATGACGATCCCAGAACTTGAAAACACCAAGCAGAATGAAGGTATTTGACCATTGCCATCGCTTGCTACCCCTTTGATTTTCGCAACAACCAACTTGCCACCAATGTTACTACAAGAGCATGGGCACGTTACTCAACTCGATCTCTCAAGTTCGACAAATTTTAGCAACCACACTGGTAATCCAGCCTTTTAAGTGCTTTAAGTGCCTTAAGTGGGATAAAAGTGGGCTCACCAAGTGGGCATCTCTCATTTGCCGCGAGCCGAGGTGCTGGGTGATATTGTGCAAGTGAAAGGCAGGGCAAGTTGCATGGGTTCTCAGCAGGATGGAATGTGATGGAACCATATGGGGTCAAAATTCTTCCCCGAAATGGGATATGGCTTTGAGTACTAGACATGGCCACTAAAAAATTTAGTGGATCCAGTGGTAGACCATTTTGGAGCCAGCCATCTTCGAGGTAGCTACCTACTGGTGATCACGGCTGGGAAGCCAGTTAGTTCGATGGTTTCCCCATTCAAACACCATTCAGAATGTGGATTTTCCAGCCATGTTTGATTAGCGAAGGGTAGCAGGGCTTGCCAGGAATGGGCGTCGAGATCCCGTGCGATGGCCTGCTAATTAGTGGAAGTCTCATCGTGAATGAGTCCATGCTCACAGGTCCCTTGGATCCCTTGGCGATGTAAAGATCTGAAATCTCTAGGGAAAACACAGCTGGATATGGCAGACGTGGCAGCCAGAGATGGGTATCAGATGGTATCAGAATGTCACATGTTGAGCCCACAGGTCGTGTTTGGTCCTCGCTATCCTAGTCTTGGAGCACCCCTATGATACCCCATAGTAATCAAACATCTACCCTGTAGTAATCAAACATTGCAATGGAAAAGTGCCCATCATTGTCGATGATTGTCCTTGATTTTTCCCTTTTTTTACCATGAAAAAACCTGGATTTCGCGATTTCCCAGCCACCAAACTGCTGACTGACTATGGCCTAGCTGCACTTAGGCGAACCCATGCCCGTGGCGAAGGTGGCGGTGCAAGATGTGGAGAGTTACGACATCAGGGTGAAAAGCAACAAGGTCTATGCAGGCCACATGGTTGTAGGTCAAAACCCTGGTGCCCGGATGGTACCCTAAAATATAGTTGGTTAATGGATAGTTCTTCCCCCAAAATATTTTTAATAATAGGTTTTAACCCATCCCCACAGAAACAAATCTCGGGTTTGATGAAACACCTCCATTAAATTGACATTATTTGGTGGACCACATTGAGGGAAACATGTCTGGTTTGATTCAGGGACACCTGGAAGGAACCCCTCTGACACATCGATGATTCCCAGAAGCCATGGGAATTCACATAGAACGAGCGCCATGAGATCCAGCCCAGGCACCTGGGTCATTGAATCGGAAAACGAGCACGCCTTAGTCTACTGCACGGATGTGGGTGCTCTCACCACGCGGGGGCAGCTGGTGAGGATGGTTCTCTTTCCCACCAGTGTGCACTTCAAATATGTGGACCAGTTGCCCGTGGTTTCTCAGCTGAAACGATCTGAAACTTTTTTTTTGCGATGGACTGTGGGGGAAGGTCAACAAAAACCTGGATTGCATTTTAAGTGCTAAAAAATCATCCGATGATACTGGAAGTCACTACCTCCTTCAACCTTTTTATAATCTTCTCAGGTTCATATACATATACAATCACACACACCCACACACACACACATATATATATAAATAAATAGATAAATAAATAAATATAAATATAAATACAAATAAATAAATATAAATATAAATACAAATAAATAAATATAAATATAAATATAAATATAAATAAATAAATAAATAAATAATATATATATATATAAATAAATATAAATATAAATATAAATATAAATAAATAAATAAATAAATATACATATATATATATATATTATGTATAGTCGTTTTTTTGGGGCCAACGATTCATTGAAATCAATGTGCCACAGTGCCAGGTCTATGGCCTCATGTCTGTCTACGCCTTCATCATGGTGATCCTCAAATCGCTGCTGATCGACGAGGGCTCGGAGGTGGTGAAGTTTTTGGGCATCCTCTGCCTGGCGCTGAGCGTTTCTGAGTAGGTGATTCACATATGATCGACATCTAAGAGACATGTATCATGTAAGTGACATGTAAGTGACATGTAAGTGACATGTAAGTATAAGATTGTATATGTTGAAATTTGGGACCTTCCATGTGTAAAAATGGATGTTTCGTTGCAGTGATTTTTTATCCAACGGATCACCATGGCTCAGGTTCACTGATTGGTGCCCTGAGCCCCATGTTGCCCGTGTCACTGGTCATGGGGCAAAGCGCCTCAGCCACACGCCTGGGAAATGGCACTGGCGAATATCAGATCAAGTGTCTTCAACCTGGGAGGAGCCTGGGACATTTGGGACATTTTAGACATTTGGGACATCTGGGCTGGGCAGATGTGCAGAACACCCCTTGTTGCAGATCTTTTTTCCAGCTTTTGGAGATTGTAATTTTGGTTTAAAAAAACCTGAAGTTGTTTGAAAGGGCGGCTCGCCGGGTTGTCGCACGGATTCCTTTCTCAGGTAGCGTCCAAAGGCTGCCTCAGTGCAGGGGTTGTTTTTGACTTTCCAATGTTGATCCATACCCAACAATACTGGTACAGATCACGCAGAACTCATGGCATCCAAAGATATTCCATATATAGAAAAATATATATATATACACACATATATATACCTCATATTATTCGTATATTTCATATATTTATCCTATATTTGTCCTATATTTCCTCTATTTCCTATGATGTTATCCATATTAGAAATACCTGGTGGCTTCCAAGTTCCGTGGGATGTTCAGGATCCCCGTCGCCGGGAAGATCTCGGTGATGGTCTTCGATAAGACGGGCACCATCACCAAGTCGGGCATGGACTTCACGGCCGTGCCGCTGGATTGGAATGACCCATTCATGGGAAAACTATCAGTCACTATCCCATTATCACTATCCATCGTTTTTTTGGATGACTATTTAATTGGAATGACCCATTAGTGGATCTTAAAAGATACCACTATCAGTCACTATCCCATTGAATCCCCTTGAATCCTGGCTGGTTGATATTGAGCCTCTGGTAAACGTTTACATATGGAAAATCGCCATGCTATGTAGCTGGGAAAACTCACTATTTCAATGGCCATGGCTTCAATAGCAAACTGTTAGTCATTACCAGAGGGTAAAGGATCAATGGATTGGTTTAAGGGAAAATCTAAACCGGAAACAAAATATGGGGATTTCCTGTGAAATTTCCTATGAACCAATCCAATTATTAGTGAATTCTTAAGCGACCTTGGAAGTACTGTACCTGATATGAATTAAACTATGATCGGATCTCTTTATGACTGGAGCATCTTAGAGGACATTTAGGACATTTCTATATTAGTGACGGTGGAGAAAATAGCTTCAGGTTCAGATGTTCCCTTCAACCAATCATAAAAAATCACTCTATTTCCATACCATCATACCACCTAGCGGACCTAGCGCCTCAAAAAACCAAAGCTGTCAAGCTGGGCTACCCGAGGCAGCCAGCCCAAGGGGCCTCTTTCCAACCACGTTTGGCCACGGATGGCGACGTCGCGCGCTTGAGCAACGCGATGCCCGAGGTCTTGCACCGGGCAGTGACGGTGTGTCACACGGCGACTTGACGGATTTCATGTTCGTTTGGGGGTATCCCACAGGCTTGACATCAGCGATTGTAAATAGCCTGGTTAAGTGGTGAATATAGGGACTTATATATACTTATACTACCAAATTGATGAGTTTCATAATACGTAGTAGGGAAACCTATCAACCAACTAAGTATAATGAGATAGGATAGGGCTATTCTTAATGGCTCACATGGTTCAAAGTTTAGTTCAACCATGTATAAACCAATGTTTGACCATTGAAATGGCAGGAAATAGCGCCTTTTTTGGGAGGGGATACCCACGGTAAAGCTACCTCTGGGATAATTCGCCCTTTCCAATACCTCCATGGCTAGGCCACCAGGATTTCCCAGCAAGTCTCGTGATAACCACCATGTCCCATGAAATCCCAATGATATCATATGATTTTGATTGATTTCCCATAGACTCCATGATATCCAACAAAAGTTATCCCCACTCTGAGGCATTCCATGGTAACACCACGGCCCATTTTGAGGTCAAGAAACTTCAGGACGGAAGACTGGTGGGCAACGAGTTGGAATGCGCCATGGTGCGACGGATGACGACTCCTTCGGTGGAGAGGCCTGGGCCACTGGGAGCAGCAGGGCAATGTGCTTCCGCCGGGCATTGGAGGAGGGACACCATGGGGATTTCATGGGGAAATCTCCTAAAAATGGAGGATAATGGAGGTTTGAAGTTGGGAACATATTCTATAAAGTTCTATAAATGGTGGATTTTGATGGGACAATTCTATAAATGAAGGATTTTCATGGATTTTCCGTCTCTGATTACCAGAGAATATTGTCCAAATAAGATATGGGGACGGATCAGAACCACAAAATATAATACCATATAATACCATATTTAAATACCATCTTTGGGATTTTCATCCACAAAGTCCAGCTATGAATTGATGTTCAGGGGGTTTCATGGGTGACCCATAGGCCTGGTGATGAGATCCTTGTGCGAGAACTGCACTTCGACCATCTCAGCATGACCAGTGGCGTGGTGCTTCGGAGTGCCTTGGCGGCCACTGGGGGGTGCTTTGGGTGCGGCATCCATGGCATTCCCTGTAGTTACAACATGCAAATAGCTATGATAGCTGAGATTTCTGGCGGTTCATTATTCACCAAAGATGGTGTGTCTAATGTATTTGACATAGGTTTTGATCTATCCCCACATCCTATGCAAATCATCGGAGCACGGACCCCGAGGACAAAGTGTTCTTGAAGCCTTTGTGAAGGGTAGCCCTGCAATGATCAAGAGCAGATGTAAAGCATCCTCCCTGCCAGCGGACTACGACTCGGTGGTGATGCCGCTCGGTCACAAATAGACCTCCGACATCCTCCCTGCAGCGGCAACCGTGCTGCGGGGCAGCGGTGCCACTGAGGCGATATGCCAAGGCGAATTTCTACACCATTAGCATTTGCCACAAGACTATTCCAGAGCTCAGTGATCAAGAGGTGAATGAGTTACCACGGGCAGAACTGGAGCAAGACCTGATTTTCGATGGGCTCTTACTGTTCCAGAATGAGATGAAGGTGGAATCTCCTGAAGCCATTCAGAAGTTGACTCTTGAATTTGTTATTGCCACGGCCTAGCGGATGGATTCAAGATCACTTAAAATCACTTAAAAGATTGCATTTGCTTCTGTCTGGCACAGGTCGTAGCATGTGGATTATTAAGTGTGGACCGAGATCATTCAGCATGAAGAACTTGTGATCCAGACGGCTCCCAGGAAAGAAGGCGCCATCAGATCTGTGATTTGCACCGGTGACAGCGAGCTCACGGGCATTGCCATTGGCAAGCAATGTGGCATCGTCACGGGTCCCTGCTTCCGTGGTAGCATGGAGCCCAGCGCGGATGGCACGTTGGTCTTCACGGATCCGGAGAAGGATGACGCACCAGAAACTTGGGATGTGCGTAGCTGGTTGGTCCGACCCTGATTCACATAGCACGATGTTCGTGTCGAACACTGTCCTATTTGAAGCATTTTGAAGCCCAGGCACGGGTGAAGTCATGTAAATCCCACCTCTTCAGTTCCGTTGCATCAAGCTCTTTCTTCGAAATCCGTCTAACAAATTCTAACATTTGGAAGCTGCTGGTGAGAGGGACTTGGTATCAACCAAAGATATCACGGGGGTTGGGGTGTTCCGGTCCTTGGCATCCTTGGCCGTCGCTGTATCAGGAATTGGGGCAACCTTCCCACTAGACCCATTTAGAGAATCAGATAGTCCTCCATCCTTCAACCATTTTCTCTCCAACCATCTCTAAGGATTACATCTTTCTAGCCCCGTACCTTGAGATACACTCCCTTTCTAGCCCCGTACCTTGAGATAGGACGTTCCAGTGGCCGCTCAGGTCCCAAAGCATCTCTAAAGTTCCACCTTTTCTTAGCTAGAACACCAGCCTTACAGCTTATGTACGTGGCCTGCTTATTTCTACCAAAACTTGTCCCAGAATTGGTTGAACATATATTACAAGATCCAATGGTATTGATGGTCAAAAACCAATGTTGTCGTAGTCAGCGTGTTCCCTAGATTCATTGAACATGGCGAGGGTTTCTTCCGGAGCTGGAATGTGTTTCTCAATCCAAGCAAAAATGCCGATATCGATGAACCGTTTGTCAATCCCCAGTTCCAAGACTAGCAAAAATCATATGCCACGTGCTCCAATATCTCAAAATATATCAAATTTCAACAATTTCGAGCCGGACACCACAAATAAACCCATTCATTGAACATCATTTCCCAGATTTTCCCTTCACACATCCACCATTTCCAAAAATACCCAGGGTTTTGTTGTCAGTTTTCCCATAGTTTTCCCATTTCTGCCAGGTTTTCCCATTTCGAAAAACCGCCGTCCAGGTAGACGTCCTGGTGGATCAGGGCCAGCTGGCCCTGAGCCGCGGAGCCTGGCAGCACCTGCGCCAGCGGCCGCAGCAGCTGGCAGCGCTGGGGCCACGCTGTGTGGTCTTCGGGCAGATGAAGCCGGACGACAAGATCAATGCCGCTGATTTGCTGGGAATTTCATGGGCTTCTAGTGGGATTTAAGTTGTGTTTTTTTTCTCATGTTTTTTTTTTGGGGTTTTTAATGGGATTTACGTTCTCTTTCCCATTTTCCATGGGATTTTCTTTTTTTTCTCATGGGGATTTTGAATGGCCTTCAACACTTTCAACCGTCAAAAAGGAGTGGTTCGATGCTGAGTTATCTGCAGTCAAGCATGTTGTTGAATCATCATATATGTATGTGATGCATACATGTATATATATATATATACATACCGCACATACACATGTGGAGAGACAGAGAGAGAGAGAGAGAGAGATGCCGCAATCTTAAGCCAATGTGGAATCCGATGGAGATATGAAGACGGGTCGAAACCCATGGAATCCCCTTGATGAATCCCCAAAGCACTGGGATTTATGATGATTTATGACGATTTATGGATGTTCATGCATTAAAACATGGTATGATTGATAGGTTTCCACCCATCCCATATTGGAGATGCTGTAAATTAGCAAACTTAAACTTAAGCTCACCTAAGAAATATCATGAAATACCATGAATATCATGACACAATATCACGACACATCATGACATATCATGAAATACCAAAACATGTGGAGTGCACTGAACAACTCTGAACGATTGGACATTTCTGTCACTGAGCTTGAAGGTCAAAAATCCGAAGACAACAAGGAATCCAGTAGAAACATATTATGACAATTTATGACATATCACATGTTCAAATATGTTCAACCGCAATTCGTTTAGGGTGGGCCATGGTTTTCTGGGGCCACGGGTCCGACCCTGGCGAGATATTTCGATGGTGGAGCCGGCTGAAAGGACAAAAAATAGCATCAGCTGTGGTGCACAAAAGCCATCAGCTAAGCCTATACTAAATCTATTCAATTATCTATACCATGTGGATGTGATACTCCTCATCCAGGAATCCAGGCCCTGATTTTTGATTCACTTTCAGCAAATAAAAGCATCTGGACATCGCTGGACTTAGGTCATCAAGCACTTCCAAAGCCAGGGCTTGATTGTAGGCCTGGGAAGCCGCGCAGCCTTACCAGAGATCAGAGGTTGACAAAGAGGAACCCCCTTGACCACTCATGTCGATGCTGCGATGCTGAGTCATCCCTTGATCACAGTGCTGCTAATCCCACTGTGCAAGACCCATCACTCTCATGATTCATATGCTTTGTGAATTCTTATTAACCGAGGTGTTTTTATAAATTATTCGCACGCAACAAGTAGTGAATAAAAGATACTACTACTACTGCTACTACTACTGCTACTACTACTACTACTGCTACTACTACTACTACTTCTACTACTACTACTACTACTACTGCTGCTAGTACTACTACTACTTCTACTACTACTACTACTGCTGCTAGTACTACTACTACTTCTACTACTACTACAACAACTACATACATATATAGCAGCTATGTATATATAAAACGCACATGTCCAAAGTAAATCTGCATATGAAGCTTCTTTTGCCATTGGCATTTCCACCAGGCATGGCCGGTGATGGTGGCAACGATTGCGGTGCCTTGCGCGCGTCGCACGCGGGCATCGCCCTGTCCAAGGCGGAAGCGTCGTTGGTGGCGCCGTTCTCCACGGGACGAGTGGAGAGGAACAGCGGGCAG